GAGGGGGAAAGGGGGGGAAAGGGGGAAGGTAGTAGGATTGAGATTTTTTTGCTACCGGTACTGTGTTTGGAATGTAGATCTCTACGGTAGGATGGGAATTTCTAGGTGTGAGATACTATCTATGGTATTGGTTATGCTGAGGGCTTGTGTAGGGAGAGGGAGGAGTTCTGGATAGGTAGGTACTTATGAGGAGCGTATAGATGGAGGATAGGTATAGGTAGGTACTTGGTTCTAGATATACTGCTACTCTTTACCTACTAGAGATAATTGAGTATGTAGGGTAGAGACAGGGGGTTTTATGTATAGGTACTATAGGAGAAGCTAGTGGGATTTGTTATCTGATTAGTATTTACCTAGGTACTTGGCTAGATCTCCTTTAAGAAATCATGAAATTTGGATGGCTCTACGACCTTGGGTATTTACCTTGAGATTTTTTTCGGGGGTGCGTTTGTATATGTGTTAGGTAAGAATATACTAGGTACTTGGCAGCTACATACCTACCTAGGTAGAGTAGAAGACCTAGACGAAAACGAAGGAGTGACTGGATGTGTTCTTCTACCATACCTGGTAGTACCTATCAGATTCCTCCGGTCGGGGTTTCTATACCTATAGGTACAACAGGAATCGAGGATTGAGGTGAGGCTAAAGAAAGATGGAATATAATAAATTAGAGTTTTTTATATACGAGCTTGAGTGAATCCGTCCTGCGCGCTTTTCAGGCTTCAGTAAATGCAGACTCAGTGAATGCTCACAACCACATGAGCTTTACGGAGTACGAGTGCTGTACAGGGATGCAGGTGGCCAGGGCTGTTTCCCCGCACCACTGTTCCCCACTTACCCCGGACTTACGGCAGGACCAGGACCACTAAAATGCACTAGAACCAGAACTAGGTAGAACTGGGGTAGGTCGCTACGGAATGATGTACCAGCCAATGTCAATTCACCTGTCTCGTTTCTGTTAGGGAGCGTTGGAGAAACAGTGAAGCCTGGACGCAGGTTGTAGCTGTCAATGGGTGGATTACTTTAAGCCCCAACGGTTGTTGGGTGAGGCTTTTACAGTGCAGTGTCCACCAGCTGCAAATGCGCAGGGCAGGTCATTGTTACCTGCTTGCTTTGTACCTTTGTGCTGCCTTCCATCCCTAGCAGGTACTCGAATGAAGCCTCCATTGCTGCATTGGCACTGCCTATAGGTTGTAGGCCGTGAAACACTGCCATTGCCACTCCCACTGTCACTGCTGTAGCTCCATCCTTTCCGGTGGTGCCGGCTCATTCGCCTCGAGGTACTTAGTAGGGTAGGTAGGGGGTAGGTAGACCTCGAGACAGCTTTAGCTTACATTTCCCCCGACCCGACCATAACCGCCTCGAGCTGCTGCTACCGCTATTACCTATACAACACGAAACACGCAACAGATGCCAGCTCCTACTCTCGACAACTCGTCGCCTCTCCCGACAATCCTACCATATTTCCAACCATGATACGATTATCACCAATGCGGCCGATGGCTTTCCACTGTCGAGCTGCCGCTGCTCTCCCTTCCCGTGTAGCAGCTGCGGGGTCAACACGTTCTAGTACAGGATCACTTGGTATGATGAATGGACAATGATATTCTACTTTCTAGAATTAGTATTTAATAACTTCCAACAGCACGAGATGTACGATACCTATACCAACCATCCAAGAATTGGGCAGAATACCGAAAGACAATCCGTCCTCAAGTTACTGCAATTGTACCGTATCGAAAAGCTTCGGTCGAAACAGACACACCCTCCAATACAATAATTCCTCCCGTTCACTCCACTCCCTACTCTGAAATCACAATTGGAGTAGTCCGCGAGATCTACCCCAACGAACGACGAGTAGCCCTAACCCCTCAAAACACAATGCTCCTACTCAAGAAAGGATTCAAACAAGTCTTGGTAGAGCGAGGAGCAGGAGCCGAAGCCCAATTCACCGATGGGGCATATGCAAAAGCTGGTGCCACTTTGACCGGTGCGAAAACCGTCTGGTCGGACAGTAGCATTGTCCTCAAAGTTCGAGCTCCCAGTCTGGATGGCAAAATGAGCGAGGTGGATCAGCTGAAAAGTGGCTCGACCTTGATTTCTTTCATATATCCCTCGCAGAATAAGAATGTGGTGGAGAAACTTGCGAATCGGGGGACGACTTCTTTTGCGATGGATATGATACCTAGAATTTCTAGAGCACAGGTTTTTGATGCGCTGAGGTTGGTATTGTCCGTACAAAATGCTGAGGGAGAGAGCTAATGATGGACAGTTCTATGGCGAATATTGCGGGGTATAGAGCGGTTTTAGAAGCTTCGAATCACTTTGGTAGATTCATGACGGGTCAGGTCACGGCGGCCGGGTAAGTTGAGGGATCTTCTTATTGTTCCTTCTGTGTTACTGTTACATGCATTGGCTGACTCGCATACAGGAAGGTAAACCGATTTGGTTGTCCCTCCTAATAAGATGATACTAATCATGATCAGATCCCTCCATGCAGAGTCCTTGTTATCGGGGCTGGTGTCGCAGGTCTAAGTGCTATAGCTACTGCTCGTCGTTTAGGGGCTGTAGTACGAGGATTTGATACTCGACCTGCGGCACGTGAGCAAGTTCAATCTCTCGGAGCCGAATTCATAGAGGTCGAGATTGAAGAAGATGGCTCCGGTGCAGGTGGATATGCAAAGGAGATGTCCAAGGAATTCATCGATGCGGAAATGAAACTGTTTCTAGAACAATGTCGAGAAGTAGATATTGTTATCACTACAGCTCTCATTCCCGGAAGACCTGCTCCTAAATTGATTACTGAAGAGGTAAGCAAGCCAGGCGTTGCAGCCCGCATCATACCATATGCAAATGCAGCCAATGAGAGATATCTTCAACCTTTTTGGCGTTCCACGACTGTGGATCTATGGCTGACCACAATACAAGATGCTGGACGCCATGAAACCCGGTTCCGTGGTAGTTGATCTTGCTGCAGAGGCAGGGGGAAATTGTGTGGCTACCCAGGCTGGAAAGCTGGTTGAGCATAAGGGCGTTACGGTGATTGGTTAGTTTGATCGTGTCTTGGAGTAATTGCAGATTTTATGTTTACTTTTTTATCTAGGATATACCGATTTGCCGTCCAGATTACCAACGCAGTCATCTACACTGTACTCGAATAATATCACCAAATTCCTTCTCTCTATGAACCCGGAAGAAAAGAAGTTTGGTGTGGACTTGAAGGATGAAGTTGTTCGTGGTTCTATTGTGACTTTTAATGGAGATATTGTTCCAACCGCGCCACGACCTGCTCCCCCACCTGCTCCGGCAAAGAAGGCATTACCGACTGAAGAGGCTGCTACAAAATTGGAAATGACGCCATGGCAGAAAACCTCTCGGGAAGTGGCAACTGTTACTGGAGGGATGGGACTTGCTCTTGCTTTGGGAAAGGCTACTGGTCCAGTCTTTATGGGTAACTTTTTCACGTTTGCATTAGCTGGGCTCATTGGATATCGCACCGTCTGGGGTGTAACTCCTGCTCTTCACTCTCCTCTTATGAGTGTCACGAATGCCATTTCGGGTATGAAAACTTTCTTGTTAAAAAACCAATACTAACCCCATTTTAGGAATGGTAGGTGTTGGAGGCTTCTTCATCATGGGCGGTGGACTGCTCCCTCATACAATACCACAAGCTCTAGGTTCCCTCTCAGTACTACTAGCCTTCGTCAACGTCTCTGGTGGATTTGTGATTACCAAGCGAATGCTTGATATGTTCAAGCGACCAACCGACCCACCAGAATACCCATGGCTCTACGCAATCCCAGGTGCTGTCTTCACTGGAGGCTATCTCGTAGCAGCAAGTACTGGAATGGCTGGTCTTGTTCAAGCTGGATATCTCACGAGTAGTCTTTTGTGCATTGGTTCACTTTCTGGATTGGCTTCTCAGTCTACTGCTCGACAGGGGAATATCCTTGGGACACTTGGTGTTGGATCGGGGATTTTGGCGAGTCTTGCGGCTGTTGGGTTCCCGCCGGAGGTTTTGATGCAATTCGCTGGTGTTGCTGGGGTTGGTAGTATTCTTGGTATGTTTGCCTATATCTTCATTTGGGGACACACTAATTTTCTTAGGATTGTTGATTGGTCGTAGAGTTACACCCACGGATCTTCCGCAAACTGTTGCTGCTTTGCATTCTGTTGTAGGTCTAGCAGCAGTGTTGACCAGTTTCGGTAGTGTGATGGCTCATATTGGGGATATCTCTACTTTGCATCTAGTGGCTGGTTATCTGGGTGTTCTCATCGGTACCTATCACTCTTGATTTCTTGAAGGAAACTAATGTTATATAGGTGGTGTAACTTTCACCGGCTCAATTGTTGCCTTTTTGAAACTAGCAGGTCGCATGTCATCAAAACCAATTAGAATTCCAGGTCCACGTCATGCACTTAACAGCTCACTTCTCGGTTTGAACATTGCAACTATGGGTACCTTTCTCACCATGGCCCCTGGTGCTCCAGTCATCGCCGCCTGCTGTCTAGCTGGTAACGCCGCTCTGAGTTTCCTGAAAGGATACACAACAACTGCAGCAATTGGAGGAGCAGATATGCCGGTTGTTATTACCGTCCTCAACGCCTATTCCGGCTTCGCCTTGGTAGCCGAAGGATTCATGCTGGACAACCCCCTCCTCACAACAATCGGATCACTCATCGGAGTGTCCGGCTCCATATTGTCGTACATCATGTGTACAGCCATGAACCGAAGCCTCACCAACGTCCTCTTCGGTGGCATCGCACCCATTGCGAACGATGAATATAAAATCGAAGGCGCCATCACGAAGACTAATGTTGAGGAAGTGGCTGATGCCTTGGCGACCGCTGAGAGTGTGATTATTGTTGTGGGATATGGAATGGCGGTTGCGAAGGCTCAATATGCCATCTCGGATATCACGAGGATGTTGAAACATAAGGGGGTTAATGTGCGGTTTGCGATCCATCCTGTGGCTGGGCGAATGCCGGGACAATGTAATGTCCTTTTAGCTGAAGCTAGCGTTCCTTATGATAGTACGTCCTTCCCCCCCCTCTCCCCTCCCCATTCACCACACTAACCTTCCCAGTCGTCCTCGAAATGGACGAAATCAACGACGACTTCAACGACACGGACGTCACGCTCGTCATCGGCGCCAACGACACCGTCAATCCCATCGCGCTCGAGCCGGGCAGTAGTATCGCCGGCATGCCGGTCCTGCACGCGTGGAAGAGTAAACAGGTTGTCGTTATGAAGCGCGGCATGGCGAGTGGATATGCCGACGTCCCGAACCCGATGTTCTTCATGCCTGGTACGAAGATGTTGTTTGGGGATGCCAAGGATAGTTGCGATGCGATTAAGGCGGCGTTGGAGGCGAGGGGGAAGATGTATGATGTTTGATCTATGGCCAGGGGGGGTGAGGGGGAGGGTGAGTGGATGAGGTGAGGTACTTGCCCCCTCCCTTTTTTTCTTGTTGTTGGTTGGATGGGTTGGTTAATTCCTAAATAGGAGGGTTGAGGGGGGAATTTAAGCGAGTTTTTCTTTCTTCTGAGAGTCATCGTTGACTTCTACGCCATTTCCATCCATCTTCTCTTTTTCTCTGCACATAGTCATCACGTCGCATCACATAGTATCGCAATTTGCATCATATATCTCCCATCTGAATTCTTCTTTCCTCGTTTTTTGGGGTGGGGTTTGTTGTTTTCGCTATGTGTGAGTTTGCTTTTTTTTGCTTGTGTCTTTGAGATGTTGAGATGTGCATATGCTCTGCTTACTCGATATGATATGAAGATGTTGGTTGGTCTGTGTCGTATATGATTGTTGTTCTTGTTGTATTTTTCTTTGCGTGGGCGGTGTGGTAAGGGGGGAAGGGAGGAAGATGGGGATGGGGATGGGGAGCTAGGGTAGGTGGGTGTTGTGTTGTAGTGTAGTAAGATTTTATATAGGGGAAATTGATTTTCTGGGGTATGTGTGTATGTGGCTTTTTGCTGGGTTTTGGGGTTCGTTGGGGTTGTTGTAGGTAGGTAGGTAGGTAGGTAGGTACTTGATTCAATAGGGTGGGTGGGTTGTATATATTGTATTGTGTTTTTTTTTTTTTCGGGTTTTGTCGTGTTCGGGTTTTGTCGTGTTCGGGTTTTGTCAGGTGGAGGTTTGGGTTTGGGATTGGGATTGGTTAGATTGAGGATTTGTTTGGTTGGTTGGTTATATTTCTATGAATATTGGAGGATAATGTGGTATCTGTAGCTACCTCTATGCGCATGTTAAATGGAGGTACAGTAAGGTCCGATGGATATTATGGGATTAAGGATGGCTGGCTATCTAGGTGTGTGTTGGTGGGAGTACTGCTTGGATTGGGTTGGGTTAGGTTGGGTTAGGTTAGGTGTTGGTTTGTATTGGTGGGGTTGTAAATTTGTCATGTAAAGTGGGTTTTGGATAGGGTTTTTAGGGGGTAAGTTATCTAAGTTATCTAGAGAGGAGAGACGAAAACTTGGGAGAGGGAGGTTAGTATTAGGAATTATGTTTTTTTAACTATAACATGTTTTTCTAGAAATCATCTTAATAATTATTATTTATTATTACTGTTATAATATATATGTAACATCCTCTACTATAATCTCCCTAGCCGAAAAGATTTAATCTAACTAGGAGCTTGTACTTCTTTTTTACTAGCCTCTAGCTCCATGTTTAGGTTGAGATACCGCTTGCGAGATCCGCTGGCTTGGAGGATATCTGTGAGATCCAGGACCGAACTGAAAGTTGGCGGAGTTGGGGTGAGTTGTTGACTGCAAGGTCGTGTCCGAGGGACGAGGTGTCTATCCAAGTGGGTGTGTGGGTTCTTTCTGAGCGCTGGACATTAGGAAAGTTCTTACAGCAAGAGTTTATACTATACATCCTGCTTTTTCCACTACTCTTGTTGTGCTGGATCCACCATATCACCTGATGTGGAATCCACTTATTCATTATTGTATTATTATTTGTACAGCGTCCGTATTGAGATACGGCTCCACCTCTCATTTACCCCTTTCTTTCTCATCTTGCCCTTTTTCCTTCCCTTATAAATACTCTGTATAATAGCTTCTCAAACAATCAATCAATTCTCCATGACCTTCAGTACACCACACTCTTCAGCCCAACAACTCTGTATATAACATGTCGCTACAGTCACGTTCGGTTTACTCACGTGACTCGGCGCTGGCATATAAGCGTTTGTAGTCTAGCTAGCTACCTTTGCTTCCTTAAGCCATTAGACACTGAACAAGGACTGGTTGCTTCAACCCCTTATGACTACCCTTCCGGAGTTCTAGGTGTACCGACATAACACCTCTCCTGCGATCATATCTGCAAATCTCTCATACATTATTTCGCTAAGCCTCTTTCCTTGCTTCTAATAAATAGAGTCCTATGCTTTCTATACCGTTACCTTGAGCCCAATAGTAGAGAAATGGTTCTTGAAACAGTACTACAAGATCTAGTCCTTCATCTGGTCTTAGACGCTCTCTATTTGCTTTAGATCAAGTGGGAGTCCATGCATTCCTTTCGAGGTGCAGTATGAACAGTGGGGAATTGGGGAGGAACTAATCTCTTCTCCTTGATCCATCTTTTCGATCATGTTCTCAGATTCTGTCCTCCTGATTCTGTAGAGCCCCCCCTTTTCGGAATATCACGAGGGCAACAACTAGATGGATACATACATTTCTGAGTTCCCTATTCGTGCGGTGTACATTCGCTACTGCTCCGTAGTCAAGGACCTATAACATACTGTACCCTACAATTTCCCAGGTGGTTTCCCCACTCTTCCCATCGTGAACCCCATGTCACCAAGTAAGGTAAGCATCCTAAGCATTCCCTTGTCTTTTTCCCCAGGAAAGCTTGCGAGGCTTGTCTCTACGAAGCATTTTGTCTTCTTGGCGTATCTCTCGTTGGAACCTGTAAGATACTGGAAGGTATCCCGAAGAATCCCCTTCATGCACCTGTCAGCTTTGGAAAGCACTAGCACTTCCCTTTCTTTTTCCCCGCGACGGTTGGCTAGGCATGACTAAGATTTCGCCATTCTGGTTTCGGCAGGGCTCTGGATTGGCTGTTCTTGTGGAGTGTGAGGGTGGGTTGGGTTTTGGCGGTGGTGTGGCGGTGGGTTTACAGTACCTTAGGAATACGACGTTGTTTTGCGGAGAAGAGGGGAGGTCGGGGGCCAGGGGGTTAGGTTACCCTCTAGAGCTTGAGGAAAGGAAGTCGGGGTTTTCTTCTTTACTTCTAGGGTACCTGTTTCTTTAGATTATGTGGTATTAAACTTGGGCTTGGATCAGAGGAGGGATGAGAGCGTACGTAGATTGGAAGGAAAAGAACGTTCGCTCGCTTCCTTGATAAATTTACTTCGCAGATCCACAGTTCATGTTTAGCCAGGTATCGAGGTTTTCCCCTCCCCCCCTTCTTTTGTCTCCGCTCTCTCCCGCATCCCCGCATTGGGGGAGGGGCGGGGGTTGAACGTCGGTAGGGTGGTGGGTGGTGAAACTTGGTATTTGTTACTTCGTCGTAGGCATAAGAGGCGTGAAAGCTTAGTGGGGTTCTTACCTTGTGTTCTACGGGGAAATATCATGTAAACTAACTAAATCGAAAGTTTTGTGGTGTCCGGGGTGAAGTGTGAAGAATGGAATCTGTGGTGGGTGGTTGTTACAGTAACACTTGTACTATAATCTGTGGTATTTTTAGTATTAAGCTATTTTCTATGAATATAGTATTAAGTAAGGTTACTAGTATAAGCTTAAATTAGAGGAGGAAATATCTGTTGTTCTTGGCCTTGTAGAAGCACGGATTAATATCTTGTAACTTGTGGAATATCGACTGCGAATTATACTAGTAGAGAGAACATGTCTTCTTCCTTGTAACCCTTTGGCTCACTTCGGCTCACCTTGCTACTTGCTGCGATAACCGCTTCAGGGTAAGATATATTCTTGACTCTTGCTCTACCGGAGTATATTGTTTGCCGATCGATGAAAATACCGTCTTGCGCTGGATGAAACTGTATAGCCTGTACTACATAATGTGCTAGTTTGTCCACGATATTATAGCCCTAAGACTGGTAAGGGTGTAATATATCCTCAAAGAAACTTTGACACCAGAAAAAAAGCTAGTACGGACCCGTTACAGTCTCAGCCAATAGTGAGAAAACATACATTTGCGAAGAGATTGGAGCAAGAGAGTGACTCTCCAGAACTCTCTCCGAACCGCGAAGTGTCCCCATAAGTTTTCGAAGTCCCATCAAATGAATATATCTTCGTTATCAGCGTCTTCAAAACCGGTGTCTTCAAAACCAAGTGCTTCGAAACTGGCTGCTTCCAAATCAGCTATTACAAAATCAATGTCTTCAAAACAAATGTCGTAAAAGTCAAAGACGGGAAATTCGCAAGGAGAAGGTTCGTCATTACAAAAACCAAGAATTACGACCAAATTTCTCGTCAAAGACCAGCATCAAATACACTAAGCACACCAAATTATACGGTTGCTACAAACAAGACGGACTTGAAGGGACTTGATTTCTCAAAATGCTGATGGGTAAGAAGCGACAGTAATATAACTTCTCGAAAATGAAAGAAGCGGTTTTGCCGGACACTTTTGGAAAGGTTTGACTCGATGCAAAAACAACAGCTTCAAGAAGGCATTACTATCAAATCGTCGGGAGACAACCAAGGATTAGACCCTTGACGAAGACGACTCGCTTAGGGATGACGAAAACTTGTATCCAAATTTTGCGTCCGGATTAGCCAATTTTTACTTGATGGCAACGCTTTCATTAACCTCCGCAGATACTTACTTAATGAGGTTCGGGCCCTATTGCTTCTTAAATCGATTGAACCCGATATTTGAGAATCTGGTTGAGGAAAACGATGTGAGAGGAGCTTTACATGCAGGAGCTGGTGGAGGCTCTTCCGAAACCCTCAAATGAAGTCCTCATATTATTAACATACTAATTTGATGTTGGGTGTCATCAATGCCCCATTATTCACGATAACTTCCTTGGTGAATATTAAAGAACGACACGAGACTCAGGCCACGCTTCCTGTGAGTCGACAACCGTCCCCAATAATGTTCTCGTAGCAAGCGCTCTATCACCTCCTTCCCTTAGCTCGAGCCAATAGACCCCATATCTATATCCTCGGAGTGTCTTACCTAACTTCATCTTACCAGAAATGCACATAGTACCAGAACAAGCCAACGAGCCTGCCCACCGTATGGTCAGAAACATCCTACAAGCGGGAATTCATAGCTTGAGTCGACAAGCATGCGATCGTCAAGAACCCATGGAGTCCCCAACCATACCGGAGACAGAAATCTCAGAGAGAATCCCGCTTATCAAAATTCCTGAGGAGTCTAGAGAAAACGTCTGGGGACATATCAAACGGTTTTTCCTATTTGATCTCGCGGAGTTCTTTGATCTCGAGACGGCTTTAGCGGAGGGAAAGCGGCGTGGTCGATGGAAATGCGTAAGCTCAGCAGTATATCTTATGATGATACCTCACTAATAACATTTGTTAGCGTTGTGGCAAAAGATTTTATCACGACTCCTCTTGGGACCTGGATACCACTTTCGCTTTTGATCAAGATCCTGCTACAGATACTGCGCTCGCAGAACAAGCGGGGAATGAAACCTGTTCACCAAATCCGCAGGCACACGGAGACACCCAGCGCCAGTATCTTGGTGGAGAAAACACACAATATCTGGATGCAGAAAATTCTCAGGATGCGGTTCTAGGAAGGGAAACACGCCAGACGGAGTGGATAGTAATCTATATTCCATACCAGGGCATTGCAAAAGTAATATATATCCCAGTCCCTGAAGACCGGGACGATTTGAATCTCTTCGACGACCTACGAAAAGAGTATTTCAACAGCAGGGGTTGGTGGAGTCGCTTCAAAAACCTGAAAGCTGTCAGGAATGTTCACGTTGCATAGGTCAGCTAAGTTCTTCAAAAGAGAAGGACTATAATTAACCATAACTACAGTTCCAACTCATGGCCAAAAAGCTTGCATCAATTAATGAATCCGAAATTGGCCTTGCCGTGAGCTCCCGAGGGAAACTGTTCGTAAGACTTGGCATTATGAGCCTTGTCCAATACCAAAGAATGGAAAAGGGGAACAAGAGTCGCCAGTCCCTGCTTCTTGGATGCTTCACTTGTGGAATCATCCCACTCATACCGCTGATGGCATTATTCCCAAACAGGAGATGGACACATTGCTTATATCCCTCTTGAAGAAGCTCAGACTCACACATCCTAACCGACAAGCAGACCAGGTGTCCCATAACCATGATGTTTACGAGGAAGACAGCCAAGATGCAGCGAACTATAACGCAGTGTTTATCTCAACGCCAAAGAAGCTCGGTAGCAAATCAACCATCTCTCAGTCATCGAGTCCTTTTCCTGAGGGCTGGGGATTATATTTGGAAGAAGGCTTCCACGTATCCTGGTACTTCTTCGCTATTCTGGGTATCTATTTATTTGCGAGTCTCGCGTGCGCTATAGCGTGGAATATTGAGTACAAATCGGGACCTCAAGCGGGTCTAGGTTCATTCGGTGTTGCCAGCTGGATGGCAGTTTTGTTTGCGTTGAGTGGAACCACGTGGTTTGCTGCTTTCAAGGATTGATATCTTGAACTTTTCCCCTAGGGCGTATTTTTGTATTTTAGAAGCCTCTGTTCATTTTTTGCTGTTTCTTTCACTTGGCAATGTCGTTATCTGTGTGTTTTTAATGCCTCTCTGGGGTTTTACAACTACATGTCGGGTGTGACTTGAGGACTGACTCGACTGATTTTTGTCGTACCTTGCCACTGTTTCCGAACGCGTAGATAAGAAAATATTTCTATCTTCTACGAAAGAATGGTTGTTCCTTGGCGAGGTACATTTGTAATTCTACAAATATCCAGCCCCCTTTATGGATGTGAGTTTAGGTCGATACTCGGTGGGATCTTTACAATACTTCAATCAAGAAATTCAGTGCTTCGATAGCCGAGTAACACATCCACGACATTGCCAGTACAATGATCGTGTAGCAAGACAGTGAGGGGGCGGTCATACCTTTCGAGTCTTATCTATAAGTGAGGAAATCATGCCCAACCCTCTAAGCAATCTAACCATTTCTTCACTTGAATATCCATTTAACCTCCTCACCCAAACCAAAAACTCGGAAAGAAATGTTGATATCAAAGTTTATAGTCTCGGTATCATACTTACCAGTCCCCCTACTGGTTTTGATTGCATCAGCACTCTTCGTCCGAGTTTTCTATAACCTCTACCTCCACCCACTTTCCAAGTTTCACGGACCATGGTATGCGGCAACAACTTCTCTCGTATGTGCATTCATCTCCGTGGCGAAAAGAGAAGACGAATGGCTTCAATCACTCGTCAGAAAATACGGAAGTAATTTCATCGTTCCCTTGTCGAAGCTTTACGAGTATGTCTAACCGGATCAGCCAATCAACCGATCCGCATTACTCCAAATCTCCTGCTTTTTCCCCGCCCTACAGCATTGAGAGACATCTACCGGGATGCAAAAATGAACACCAAGAGTTCTTTCTATGATTCTGGAAGTTTGGGTCCGACGAGTATGTTCAGCACTTTGGATGGAGCTGAACATAAGGAAATGAGGAAAACGCTTTCGGGTGCAAAAGTGCCGGTATGTTGCTTTCGTACGCTTCACTGAGACGAGTTCAAGCTCTATTATGCAATTATTAACTTGAAAACAAGTGGGCTATCGGCCTGTTGAAGAAAGAATGGGAGTCGAAGATAGATTCTCATATCGAGTTATTCGCTTCCAAAATGCAAGAACTGGTTACTACTCAAGAAACCTTCTGTTTGTCTGATCGAGCTGCGTATGTCCTTTCTACACTCTCTGTTCCTCTTGCCTTTAACTGATCGTCCATTCAGGGAATTCGCAGCAGACATCATGGCTCTGGTAACCTTCAGTACCCCATGGGGATTCGTGCAGAATAGTCGTGATCAGTACGGGATTCTCACAAGCTGGCGTCATGGTCTCACCTGGTTCGGCTTCTCGAATCGATGGAGGTTCTTGCGTGAGACTATTGTGCACCATTGGCTTTTGGGACCTTATACACAACCTAGTGTCGATGATGGAGGGGGGATGGGTCATTTGATGAGATTGGCTGATGAACAGTTAAGGGCACGAGAGAAAGCTATTGAGGATTTCGGAGAGAAGGAGGGACAGATGGATTATTTGCAACAGTATGTTCATCCATGCCTTCACTATTGTCTTGCTCTTAAGTTACCAAGTTCCAACGTTCGCTAACCAACCTTCTTGAAAATAATATAGCGCCATCGAAGCAAAATATCATAACGAACCCCTAACCTACACGCAAAAACATGCTCATGCGACCTTTCTCATCATGGCTGGAGCAGACACTACTGCCACGGCCTTAGGCGCAACGCTCCGCTTCCTCGCCGTCAACCCACACGTCCTATCCAAAGCCGTCGACGAAATCTCCTCCGCCGAGAAATCCGGTCTTCTCTCAGCCCCCATTCAATACGAAGAGTCAAGTCAACATCTCCCATATATCGGAGCTTGCATCAAAGAATCCATGCGTCTCCACCCCCCGGCTCCGAATATCTACGAGCGTACAGTCCCCAAAGGGGGTTACACCATTGACGGTACATTTGTACCGGGAGGGTGTGATGTTGCTTGCGTCAGCTATATCACTCATAGGGATCCGGATATGTATGCTCCTGATCCTGAAGTCTACAGACCTGAGAGGTGGCTGGTGAGTAAGGAGATTTCGAATCAGTTTGACAGTGTGGCGTTTGCTTTTGGGATTGGGTATAGGGTTTGTTTGGGAAAGGATGTTGCGACTTTGGAATTGTGGAAGTTGATCCCTGAGGTGCGTTTTCTGTTTTCTTGTTGTTATTCTAGGATGGTGGAAAAAAGTATTGGAACTGGAGCTTTTGCTAATGATTGTGCCAAGTTCGTGAGAAGATTCGAGATGGAGCTTGTCGAGGAGGGAAGTTACATTGTTGATGGAGGTGTGGCTTATAACCAGGGTTTCTTGGTAAAGTTGAGGGCGAGACAATAAGTTTCGTTTCTTGATCTTCGAGAACTGGGACTCGAGGTCGTATTGATCCCCCGTTGTCTCAAGGAGATACAACGAACGGCGAACGCTGGACAAAAAGTGAGGGGAATCCCTGGGTTACCGCTTGTCCACGCAATCACTATTCAAACGCGAATTTGTATCTTCATCTTGTTGGCCCCGGTTATAGGGTAAAGTGAGAGTCGGAAATAGGGCAGTTGACTGCAGGTGTGTAATATTGTATCACGTGACTAGATTCATTGGTATGCGGTTGAGAAGTTTGTCCAGCTACGATCTGTAATTAACAACTAATAGCGTCGTTTTGCGACGATTGGGCACAGAAAATTATGATCACGACAGTCAGAGGAGGCCACGAGTTCTCTTTGTGCCTGAGCATGCCTCAGATAGCCGGGGGATTGCAGTTGGAAGGATTTGGAAGGATTCTCGGTATTGTGGCTGTTTCAGCTTGGCGAGTCGTGAGTTATCAACTGTACGAACTGGTCAAGTCAATGAGAGGATTATACGACTTAGATACCCTGAATTCAGGGATTCATTCACACCACTGTACTATCTTCCCTCCTATGAAACTCACTTTCCTACTTCAGTACCCGTATAGACCCTACGCTAGCACAAATGCTAGTGATAGTTAATTGAATGACAGACAACGGTGTCTTACTCTCCCCCCTCCATTATTAGAGATTAATTGTGAACTATATTGTTTTATAGGCGCACGGTAGTTTCGTCATACAAAATCTAGTGCATGAAGCTGTCAGAAACATCACTTTTATATAGAGGACGGGGGAGTAAGAACATTTTAGACCCTAGATGTTAATGACACTTTTCCACTAAGCTATAGAACGCCTGACTCGAGGGCATATCAGGGCGAGATAAGCGGGGGAAGTGAAGCTACCGGCTGATGTCCTAGAGTCACGTGTCGATTTTAACTCGTTCCTCTCCTAGGACTCTTATACTTGGAGAATTAAGCAGCTTCTAGATTAGCTAGGTACCTATTTTCTTTCTTCTTATACGTAGATAGGCGTAGTTTAATATGCGGTTTAATGTGATAAACGCCCCCGCTTAGTTACCCTACTACCCTTATGGAAGACAAACTATAAGTAAGCTAGTAAGTAGCTAGCTAATCAATCAATCGCTCTTTAACTTAGGACGGTTAGTACACGACAGAAACTAAGGTACCTCTGTACTTGATAAGGTCTTCGGAAAGTAGTATGATGCCTGCGGGGGAAGGGATAATCACGGTGAAGTCGTGCGCTGAAATCAGATATTTAAGTCGTACGTTATAATCTATTGAGAGACAAACCACATAGACTTTTTGTCAACCTTTGTACTCGTTCATACCCGAATCCCGAGAATTTCACCAAATCCTAAGGCCACGCCGTATTATGACTTGTGTTGTTACACATGTCAGGTTCACAATTGGAGCTTGTCTCGTAGTTGCGATTAACGAAGCAGTCTCTCGTATCGCGGTTTCAGGAGGATGTGGTGCGATCTGAAACCTCTTGGGGGCCGCTCCTGGTCTTACTTTTACCTTGGCGAATCTTTGGGATGAACGAACTTTTGAGTTGGAGTCCTCTCTCTCTAGGTTGCGAGGGCTTGGCATTCTTTCTTGTTTGATGGAAAGAAGAAGACTCCTTCAATTCCTAAGTCTGGATCTCGAGCCAACTGCCATGCACTCGAAGTGGTTTTCGTGCGACTTGTGGAGACTCAATCGCCGGAACAGTGGGCTTTTGTGGGGGTTATAGGACGTGCACATGGTAGAAGTAAAAGATGCTTTATGGGGTTCTCCACTTCGGCTGCACGATGTTCTAAGTTGGTATCAAAAGTTGAAAACTGAAAGTCGGGTCGCTATCTTTTCTTGGCTGCCAAGTGTTGAATGCTGGAATCCAAGTGCCGTTTCCTTGGATACTATTCTTCGTGGTCTCAAGGAATCGAATTGAACGGAGCATGGGAAATTATTACCTCGATGAACCCATTCTTCGAGCTGTTTACCAAGTGCGAAGTACCACAGAGAATATATGTTTTGACCTGTACCTTCCATCTCTTGATATAGAACTTCACACACATCCAACTTAAAAAACTAGCCAATCCTGTTTGTCACGCATAGAAAAATCAATCAGTCACAGTATTCAATAATGTGAAGACTTTGCAGGTGTTCTTGACCGAGTCTTTTGGAACAAATGGCAAAGATTCAAATTCTTGGTGGTCAACTCGTTCGGAGTCTTTTCCTTCTAGACGTCCTGTAGATGGGCAAATTCGCTTCATATTGCCCCACCTGGACCACTTAAATTGAGTACTGGGCACTCCCTTAAATTCTTGAAGCTTGATCAACCCATGCTTCTACTGTACAATTTATGGTCCGTATCCACCCTCCAGAGCCTCAAGACTCCACTATGAACGCATGCTTTGAACACTTACGCGTTCGTGAGACAGGGTCGACTCCTCGGGGTGTTCCATCGCTCAAGATGTTTGTGGTTCGAAGTACTTGGTAATTACGGATAACGGCAAGCTAACTTTTCCAACTGTGTGCCCAATTGCGTTAGAAATCGTTAGAAATCGTTAGAAATAGAGAAATTTACGGAGTACCCAACAGAGAATACCTATTATGAGTCGGATATGTCAAACGCGGGGTTTCTCTGGCGATTCAAAGAAATGAAGACTACCGGTAGACGAAAAGGGAAAGACCTTGCAAGAGGACGGACCCCTTTCTTTAAACGAGGAGTCTCGGGCTTCAGCTTTCTTTCAACAACGAACTGCTTATCAATCTTTTCACAGATTGCCCTCTCTTGTTGCCATATCTTGGTCAAGACTTCGTCAGTTGAAGATTCACAAACCAACCCGGAGTAATACTTCGTAATATCTCCATTAGATCGAGATCGGAGATGCGCTCCATCCCTTTTTTCCCCAGCCACCTTCCCCAGCATCCGATTCCAACCTCGCCCCCACTAGTGAAAGAGCCTTTTGAAATCTGATTCGTTCGCTGGTTCTAGATTTCCGAATTTGGGTGCATGAGACGACCTTCGTTGCCGAAACAAAGATCCCTGTATTCGCCGCATGCAACACAAGGGCACCCATCCGCAACTCCAATGCGGAGGTTTCTATAGGGTCCCAAGACGACCGCGCTCAGTTGCGGATGTGCCACGTGTGAGTGGTGTGGTTCAATGAATTGTCATCCGATGAAACGAAGGCTAGTGCATCAGATGGTTTCGCTGGACTGGGCTGAGGAGGTTTCCTTTATATTGCACGCGGGGGCGCTCAACTCTATCAGGGTCAGGTACACCTTTGTCTTTAGATAAACTGACAATATATCTGACGAGACACCCTCTCTGACGCGTCTTTCTCTTCTTCCTTTTGCGGGCATCAGTCACTCTTTTATTTGCTCTTTTTTTATCCCATCTACCTCTACCTTTACCTTCTACTTTCACTCGTCGGGTACGAATTTGGTTTCTTGGCCTTCACGGACAATTGAAACACCCTTATATACTTGAGATACTCCAGGCGACAAGTAAAAAATGAAGTCCCAAAATATCACTCTCTTCGCTGTTTTCATTTTGAGCGTTGCTGCTGGTATGTTCTGCCCCCTGTTTTCATATACGCTGCCTTCTAACTAACAAATTGCAGTCCCCTCGCCGAAAAAACCCCCACCACCACCACCTGGCCTTCTTGCCGCCGGGGAACTATGTGATAACAACCGTGGCCAATGCGATGGGAACGGGAACTGCGATGATATTGGGGGCAAGGGGAAGAAGAAGGATCCGATGTGTGAAAATGCTAATGCTGCACCTGGGCCTGGAGCTGGAAAGGCCGAAGCGTTTTCTGTGCAAAATGCGACATCCTCAACTCCCCCATCCGAGCGAAAGAAACCAAGCCCCGACCTCACCAAACTGGAGTGATGGATTCATGGGAAAAAAGGTGTTATGGAGTGAAGGCCTTTTTATCGGAGTTTATGGGGGTTTTGGGAAGGACTTAGAATGGGATTTGATACCAGTGGCTCTGTTTGGCCCGCAATTTGAAGGAGACGTAATAGGAGATTTCCTGAGATACATTCAATGTGTTCAAATGATTTTTTCTCGTCTTATCGTCTGGAAAAGCAACTTGAAATACATTATACATCACTTTCTCTTTCCTTCGTGGTCATTTCTGATATCCTCTAATACTGTCTCCTAGAAAAACAATGATAGAAGTCCTCATTCTCAAAACTCCACTCAGATTCGAGTGTTCTACAAAGGTTCTTTGAATTCTGGTTTCATATCTGACGACATCTGTCACTGTGGGATGGCCCTGTCACTTTCTAACTCCACCTTATCTAAATCATGAGCCTTTTCATTACGGAGAATTCTTGACACTTCAGAAAAATATAAGCCCATTCTTTGAGTTTCAAGTGAGATGCACCTCCGTTGAACTTAATCCGGTTTCAATTCACAACAATAACTAAATGGTTATGTTACAAGCCAACCTACCGATGGTTTGCTTGGATAGATGCCTTGCTGACACACCTCTGACTGGAAGAGGATAATCACGACAAGGACCAGTTCAACTTTAACGAAGCACAGGTTACTCGAATGATTTACGCCTTCATGCAAAAGCATTTTTCACGCAGAACTACGCACATGGTCACCATGTAGAAGTGGCGTATTCCGATTGAAGTAGAAGTGGAATTAAGCTTAAGCACTAGGCTCCAGTAATTAGGACTAATGCTAGCCCCTCTTAATTAATATGAGCGTATGTTTCAAACTCAATTAGCATATTCGCTCTTCATAAACAGCTCATCCATCGGCTCTCCCCATTTCTCACTGCCAACTTCACGTAGCGTGTCCAGCGTATGTTCCTCTGGTCTCCAATTCACATCTGGCAGGCAGAATATTAAGCTTCGGGACTTATGATCCTTGGTTGGCGCATCATAATTGATAACGAAGTCCCACATCTCACCAGTATCGTGATGAGGTTCTGTTGGACCCACCGACAATTTCTGTTGGACCCACCGACAATCGTGCGCTTTTTAAAGATGGCATTGAGTGCAATCCTTTTGCGAAAGCAAATAGTAACGGGTTCAGACGCGAATTTGGAACCGAGCGAAATGCTTCGTCAGGGTTCTCGCGAGAAATAGGATGTCTGGGATTTCCCTCTAAATCCTCCGAGTCATCTGAGTACCATTGATCATCTGGGCCTCCAGGTTGTGCTTGTTCCCTATAAATGTCTTCTGGGTCGTCACCAGAAGCATCAATAAAGTACCAATGACCAGATGGTGAAGCCAGATCCAGCTTAATGTCCAACTTCTCCAACCGGGGCCAGATTGAGATGGAGGTATCCAAATTCTGACTCGTGTGTGAATACAAGAGAGTTGCATCGAACGTTCCTTTGAGCGTTAAACTTGTGAGATTTGGGCTTTGACTGAAAGCAGTAAAGATTGCTGTACTGACTGGGTCATACTCTTGATCCCCTACCAAATTGGCTGGTTTTGCATTGTGGTTTGCAGGCGCCTGGTATTGGAAGTTCAAATTCGCTTGCCTGAGCTTTGGGAAGGTACAGCTCGAAAGACACGTTGCAAATCTTGCACGGCTAATAGCTGGCGGATCATTCATATCATTTGTTTCGCTTATCTCCCAACTGAGGCTCTCCAAACTCGGTAGCTTCAAGCTGATATCCACCAGATTCGAGGCGTCGAAAGTCCGGCCTCCACATCCCAAGTTGACCGAAGCGACACAGTTCAAGATCGGTATACTACTTACCTGAAGAAGTCTGATGGTTGACCATCTCCAACGATTGCTCAGTAGATCTCGAGGTTCTGAACTCAAATCCTTGAGGAAGGCCCGCTCTGGCCCGGGTCTTGAAAGAGCTTCACCTGGATCTGAAAGAGAGCATATCTGGGTAATATCGAGACCCAAATTGATAGTCGACGATTCTTTCTCCCATGTTTTTAACGATACAAAGAGATTCTCGATTGCTTGTGTGAAGTGTTGATTGTTGGCGTGTTGATCGGCTTTCGTTTCGAATTTTCCACATGCTTCTAAGCTGTATGAAGGCAGAATGATAGTAACATTCAGCCGCTTCAAAAACTGCCGGCGACCTGGGCATAGAATGGTATCAAAGAGGTCTAGTTGGTTGGTCCTTAAGTGAATTTGCTCGAAAGTTCTCCGTTCAATTGCCTGCTTCCATGCCAGGTTTATTGTCGCGTAAGGTGGAAGACTTGATGGCCAAAGCTTACGAGGCTTCTGATCTTCGAAAATGTGGCTATGTTTGTTTGGCACATCGTAAGATTCGAATTCATCAGGCCTGTCGTCGAAGAAGCCATTGGGATACGCTTCCAAGCAATCGGCTATTTGGTTGATAATCTCCTGGGACAGACGCATTTCTCTCTCATTTATCTTCCGGTCTGAGGGGATTGTTTGAAAGAACTGGAGTGTGGTGAAAAAAAGAGTGACAGCATACTTATGTACTTATTGGCCGGAGGCGCAGTACATAACACCCCTGTACAAGACGCCTCGCTATGAAAAAAGACACGACAACCGGCGTTTGCACCACGTTTACTATTATTCTAGACGGCAATATTGCAAGAAAACAATAACGGAATGTACGGACTAGATCCCAGAAAAACATGGACAGTATGGACTGATAATTTTTATGATCTTTTGGTCACGTGAAAGATTTGCCTTTCGAAATCGAAGGATCAATTGTTATCTGTGGCAAGAAGCCACTTCAAATTTCATATGAGAGGTTGGAGCCGGAAGCACTCTTCATAATCAAGAGTAATGCACAAAGAACTCGCATGAAGGAGCCAGGCAAAAGCAAATTGCCATTCGACTCGTCCAGAAACACCAATGCAGTAATAATATCCTAACCAAAAGGAAGAATCACACGCGTTTCCATTATTAAGTACCTTGTTCCAAGCATAAAATTGCGATAAGCTAATAGAGTTGCGTTCGGCAAATCGCTAAAGGCACGTTAACAATCAGGCCTTAAACCAAAAGTGGAAGAGGACTTACGGAACAGTAGTCGCCGTCAATGGTTATATCAAATTTGTTGCAGTTAGAAACAGGATTGTTTGGTTGGTTTGGTTCCGGAATGGAAATTTGTGTAGGGGTTGGTTCTACTGGAGCAGAAGTACGCGTCACAGTTACAGTTTCGGCGGTCCCAACACAATAAGCATACCCAAGCCAGAAGTTTGTCCCACAGTCATTAGATACTGCCGAGTTCCAAGCTATGAATTGTGCGTGTGTGATGAAAAACTGGTTCTCAACACTAGAACACCCATCGCCATCCGAGATCGTATACCACTTAATACAGTTTGCCGGTTGGCCAGAGTGCGTTGGAGCAGCAGGTCCTGTTGAAATTGTTGGAGTGGGACTAGATGTATCCGAAGTTTGGCTCGTTGTCACGGTCGGATCTGAATAAGTAGGGTCTCGGATGCAGTATGCATATCCTATTTTTGAGGTTAGAACACATTCGAACTTTGTTTGAATCCATCACAACTTACCGGTCCATAAATTACCACAATCTGATCCAATTATAGGATTGTGTTGGAAAAATTGGGCTATTGTAAGACTGTAAAGGCTGAGCACATCGGCACTGGAAAGCTGGTAAGCTGAGGCCACTGTTGAAAGACTTTCAGATTATTTACTGACCATGTCGTGTAATCATAAACATCAGCGTAATCAGTACAGTTTGGAGATGAACCATCCTGTTGGAGTCAGCGATATTCTTCGATCAAAAAGAATGAGAAGGACTACCCTTAGTGGAAGTGAAAAGCTTGGTCCCGCAACTGGAAGAGGCGCTTGGCCAGAAAAGAGCTTTCCGCAATATTGCGTTCCCGGTTTGAACGAACAGGTCGACAAGCTAACATTCCCTATGTCCGGGTTCCACAGTCCGAAATCCTCTATATCTACCCTGTAAATATCTGCTGCAAAGTCGCACTGATTGAAATGCATCGTTCCGGTAATATCCTTCTGAAATATTGCTCCATCAAACATGTTACTACAATCATCTCGTGTTCCTGGAGCCAGTGGCAAAGCTGTAGGGGTTGGTATAGTAGTTGCTGCTGTCGTTGGTGTTAGAACGAGTGGTATGAAAGACGCGGTATTGCTCGGTATCAAGGTATGGTAGCCAGGTCGGCCCGAGTATGTGTTGACTGTATAATTAGACGACATCACATGAAGATGAGCTTAGATTCTTGACTTACTATCACCCACAGCCTGAACACAATAGCTTTCTTCCGCGAAAAGATTTGTGCAGTTCTCGTTAATTGGGGGATTCAGAAAGACAAAGTCCTGCAAGGATATACTAAACCTCAGAGTAAGGAGATTGCAGTAATCACCAGAAACTGCATGATACCATCTACCACAATTACGGTTTACCGCGTCGGCAGCATCAGTGGGAACAGCTACAGCAGTTGAGGCTATACTCGGTGCCAAGGTAACGGTGGCATGAGGTACGACATAGGGTGTTCCTGGCCCTGATATGCAAACTTGAGTTCCGTTCATTTTTTCGACATTGTAGCATCCTGCGTTGATCGACTAAATTTCGTTAAAACCCATTGAACAGGAGAGGGTGCATGAAACCTACTGGATTCCATGCCTTCAATTGTGATTCGGTGATATTAGCAGCTTTTGCAATTTCCTTGCAAGTACTGTTTACTCCAACCTCGACGGTATCACAGGTGTTAGTCAGACAGAGGTTACCACTGCTTGGAAAATCAGAGCAGTAAGCACCCAGATTGTTGTCTGAGAGCAGCCATGCAGTTCCAATTCCTTGGGATTTGGATATACTGTAGCAAGAATCACCGGAAGTTATAGCATAGGTTTTGCCGGTACACGCTGCTGGTGTTCTGTTTCAGCGGATGGAGGGCTACAAGTTATTAGCATTGCCAAATAGGATCCGCGATATAACATACGTGGAAAATGACAATGTTGATGTCGCAAGAGGAAGGTTGGTCACGCCACAACTTGAAGTTTTTGTATCATATATAGACTGACTTCTGAGCTCTGGCCCGTCGTAGTAAGGAGAAGCTGCTTGCATTTGAAGATTCTTGATCAAACACAAATCGCATGGACCGGAGGGCTCGCTACCGTTGATAGCACTGCTATCCCACCCAACGGGACTGACTGATATGGTCGTCATCAGTTACACTTGAACAAACAGGCTCATGATTTTGAGCGAATCCGGGGTAGAAGAAACTTACGACCAGGATCTCCACCCACCGCCGCTGAAGCTGCAACTACATTGCACCATCTCCCAGAGTCTTGAAGACAAGTCAGATCGTATTGAAATTTGATCAGGTTTGGGATGATATCAAGTGGCATATCGTTCCCATCGTCATATCCAGCCCAGCTCTGACCTACACATGCAGATGCAATTCCGCCTTCGTAGGATGCCAGTGCTGTTGAACATGCTGGTGTGCATGTTTTTTCAAGACTTGAAGTTAGATAGAAGAACCCATTTCGAAAAACCGGAACAAGTGAGGTGCACCCGGTAACGTCTTTTAGCAATGCATTCGAACAAGTTGTTGTGAGATTCGTAGGCACCGTACTATTTGTAAAGAATGGAACCGCAGAAACTAAGTTGATGTACAAAAACAAGATAAAAACTATACCAGTCGGTAAGGAAGCATTGATTGAGAATGCCATCGTGAGAAACTATGAAAGTGGCCCTCTGATACAAAACTTCGAAAGGGTAAGCGACTCAATAACTAAGAGAGAAATTCTAGACAGAGGGAAATGCCAATCATTTCTGCTTATCCACCAACTCCATAAATTTAGGTATGTGAAATTTAAAATTAAATAGTAAAAAGTGTGGAAAGGATGCTACCCCACCTCTTCGTACGTGCTGCGCTACGTACCTGCGCTGCTCCTCCAGGGTGTGTCCTATGGCGATTGATTTCTTTCCTATCATGACCCCATGCATGTAAGCCACATATCGTGGGCGTCCTGCACGATGCCAATATTGCATTCACGTCTTTGAGAATAAGCTCAGATTAAAATTAAGCTTATCTTACCGAGCCACTTGATTTATACACTACCTTAAAAATTGGTGTAGATTACATGGCTCTACGGTAAGTAGGTAGACTTTATATTTTGACAGTGGGGTTATAATTAATCGGATTTTCAGTGGGCTCTACGGAGTATCAAGTAAAGATTTTCAAACAACATCACAATTCGCACGTTGCGCAATCTCCAACATACTGTCTAACAAAGTAATACCTTCCGTATAATTTCTCGAAAGATACATCCATTCAGAGAAATATAGACAACATTGTATAGGCGCTTGGACCCATTATTTGCTCAGTATTTCTGATAATATTTTGTTGACTCAACTACAGCGATATTCATAACGTGTGTTAAAAACGTGATTTTCAGGAACACCAAAAAAAGTACGAAATCAGGAACTCAGGAAAACAACACTCTTATATTACGAAACAACCACGCTTATAGGGCTTTAGCCCTGCTACAGTATTGTACTTTAGTATACTACTAATAGTTTCATTAACCTTTTATAGAACCTAGAGGCGTTTCTATATTATAATCTAAGAAGGGGCGAAAAGTCGATTCTTGCGACCGTAAGGCGGGACGGCGGGGTAGGGTCTTGGCGTGCGACCGACACAAAAACAAACTTTCTGCCCCTACCTAAATTACTATATAACGTAACCCCTAGAGTATACAAAAAGTCGATACAACTACCAAGAATGTATTAAGGATTAATCTCCCTAAAGGGCTTAAGCCCTAGAAGTGTGGTTGTTCTATGATATAAGGGGGGCTATTTTACGATATTACGTTTACACTTTTTTTTTGGTGTTCCTGAAAATCACATTTTTAACACACGTTATGAATATCGCTGTAATTCGTTTACATCTACCAATTACATGATTATACAATAAAAGCGGTTCTATTGATTGTGTAAAGCTGTGCCGTCTACTTTGCGCTACTCGGTGAAATGACCACAGGAAGAGGAGATCACTGCGAAACACGGATTTTTTCCACCGAGGATATTATATAAAAAACGGCGCAGTGCATGCCAGCTGGGGTTTTTGTGCCTTGCAAGGGGGTGCCCCCGCCGCTTACGCCCCCGCTTATACCTCGGCAACGTAAAGAAAGGGGGAAATCCTTCAATAATATCGCAAAACCGAACCACTAAAAGCGAAGGATTCGTCTAGGCCAAATGATTGAGCAGTATTCGATAGTTGTCAGGTTGATTTTCAAAAGTTTTATTTAAGATTATCTGACAAATGGCGTTCCAATTTGAGCTGCGGTTTGGCCTAGACCGATTCTGGTCAGCCATGGATGTACATTGACTTGATGGACTATAGTAATATACTTCCCATGACTGCACCCTTTCGTTTCTGAAGTGAGAATTTCTCAGGCCTTCTTCCTTGGTATTGTGTACCTCAAAGGGTCCAAAAGATTTCAAAATGAAGTTTTTATATTCATTCGTCGTTCATTTTATTTTCATTATCTCTTCTTTACGAGTCTCTTCTGCTCATCCTCACTCTAATTCGCCCGCTCACAGACATTCTTCTAGAAAAATCGCCAATGCTGGTGTTTGTGATAATGCTGTTTCGTATGTCCCCAAGACATATATAACCGCATGCAGTCGTCCCAAAGACTAATCAGAAAAACCAGACCTTTCGATTATTCTGTCAAGCTTCGAGAAGAGAACAGCAATCCGACTTGCTTGGCAGACACCACCGTCTCTGTACTAGCTGAGCGGCAAGCTCAGACGGTGGATGATTTCTCATGTTCTGAATCAAAACCATGCAGTAATGGGGCTTGCTGCTCCAAAAAGTCTGGGTTCTGTAATTATGGGCCAGAAGCTTGTGGAACGAATGGACAAAGCCCCAATGAGTTATGTTGGTCAAATTGCGATGCTCATGCTGAGTGTGGAAAGTTTGCACTCGTGCCTGGCACCAAATGTCCTCTCAACGTCTGCTGCTCCCCATTTGGTAGGTCTTGGTAGAAACGTCTCTCGCTAGAGCCTTGCTGACTTTATAGGTTTCTGCGGAATGACGGAAGACTTTTGTAAGAAAGGAACAGATGAAGATCCAGGCTGCCAAAGCAACTGTGATCAACCGCCTTCGGGTGCATCAGGTGGCAATGTTCAAAATCGTATCATTGGGTACTATGAAGCATGGGCTCATGACAGAAAGTGTCAGGGCATGGTTAGTCATTCGAAAGTTTGAAGAATAACAGAGCCTAACTGATTTAGGACTTCGATACAATTCCTGTGGGGGCTTTTACCCATCTTTACTTTTCATTTGGCTATATAACCCCAGGTGGCTTTGAAGTAGTACCCATGGATGAACTCGATGAAACTTTGTTCACACAATTTACGGATGTGAAGAAGAGAAATTCTGGCTTGAAAACCATAGTAGCTCTCGGTGGATGGACATTCAATGATAATGGTATGCAAAATTGACTGGTTGGTCAAAAGCAATGACTAATTTCTCAAGGAACTGCGACTCAACCCGTCTTCAGTAATATGGTCAGCTCACAAACAAATCGAGCAACGTTCATCAAGAATCTTTTCAGTTTCTTGCGTCAGCATGCATATGATGGTGTTGATTTCGACTGGGTAAACGAACCTGCCATTCTCTCTATTCTATATCCAGTGCTAAATTTATGTAGGAATATCCTGGAGCAACTGATCGTGGAGGGCAACCAGACGACGGAAAGAATTTCGTTCAATTCCTAAAGGAACTCGACGATGCGAATAACAAACAACCTGTCAAATATGTTGTCTCTTTCACCGTTCCAACCAGTTTCTGGTATCTTCGACACTTTGATCTCAAGGCTGTTGATCATGTCGACTTCATCAATGTTATGAGCTATGATCTCCATGGTATCTGTGACTCCACCAATCTGATTGGGAGTCATATTTATGCCCATACCAATCTATCAGAAATCAGTCTTGCCATGGACCTCTTTTGGAGAAATGATGTGCCACCCGCGAAGTTGAATTTAGGTCTTGGTTTCTATGGCAGGAGTTTCCAACTTTCCGATCCTTCTTGCTACAAACCAGGCTGTAATTTCAAGGGTGGAGCGTCACCCGGTGGTTGCAGCAACAATGCTGGAACATTAACCTATAAGGAGATTCAACAAGTCATCAAGTCCAACAACATCAAACCTTATCACGACAAGGAAGCTGGCGTAAAATATATTACCTGGAAGGGAGATCAATGGGTTTCTTTCGACGATGAAGAAACCTTCAAAGCCAAGATTGATTTTGCAAACAAACTTGGGTTAGGTGGTTTGCTCATTTGGGCAGTAGATCAAGATACAGATGACCTCGAAGCCCTGAGAGGTGTCTTGGCTCCCAAGAGTGTTAAGGCTTTCGCGGCTATGGCTGACGAAAAAGCATTCTGGGAAGAAGCAGCAGTACCTGACTGTTATGTAACTGACTGTGGAGGATCCTGCAAAACAGGGTTCTTCAAGATTGAAAACCAACCTTGCGGTGGGGCAAAACCTGTCACGCGACACTCGAAAGAGAAAGACAGCCAGCTTTGCTGCCCTCTGTCGGGTGCTCCAAACCCGAAAGATTGTACTTGGAGAGGCGAGGCACCATCTTGCAATGGGCATTGTCATGATGATGAAGTCACAATGGAACTCAACAGGTGGGGCAGTGGAAAATACTGTGAAGATGGCAACAAGGCATATTGTTGTCAATCCCCAGAAGCGAAAGAAAACAAATGTTATTGGGCGGGAGTTGGAAGAAAGTGCAATAGCGATGATACCACAATGGTAGGTAGTTCTGATGTCGTCTCCCGTCCTTTCTAACACCATGTAGACATTTTCGGGAACTTTTGTTTCAACGATCTCAGATATCGTGAGTCTTGGGGGTTTGATAGGATCTCCACTGGCCCTATTTCTTGATGAGGCGGACATGGACTTACAGAAACGTTACTGCTGCCCCAAAAAAGACGCTTCAAAGTGGTCCAACTGTAGGTGGTATGGGCAGCCAGGCTCTTGCTTCGACAACCATTGCCCAGTTTCGGGCCACTCCATCCAGCTCACGGATAGCCCTTACGGACTTGGTCAGTCTTGCTTCCCTCGAATGGAACGTAGTAGGGTTCATTGCTGCGATCCTACAGGGGGCAAATCACCATTCCTTCCCGTCCCGTTGGAGAATCTATTCCCATCGCCTCCGACAGGTGATGATATTGACACTGATTTCGACCTGAATGTTGATGACACATTTGGAGACGGGGCTGGCCATGAACATACCTCAGAAGAGCCAGGGGATGCGTCTTTTCAATTCGTTGTACTTTCTTCTCCAGAAGAACTTCAAGTCTCCCTCGATAAACGTGATGGATCTCACTGGGAGGTCTTCAATTGCCGAGATGGGATGGAAGAAGGAGAACATACTGTTCAAATGGTCTGTACGGATACTTCAGAAACCAGCAACTGCTACAAAATTGGTTTAGGGCATGGAGCTCCCGGTACAATTCTCCAGATGCCCCCAGGTTGCGGTCCAGGACGTTATGCGGTCGCCAAGTCCATGAAACCTTCGAAAATACCAGCATCTGCACATCTTAGGAAGCGATTAAGCATGCCAGCCACATACGACTTAACTTTTGACTATGACTTCACGAGGGTTCCTCGAGACCTTGGAGATACGCAAATGCGAATAGACTTTTCAAATAAGGACAACTACTGGGACAACGTCGTTGCAGCTGCAGGTGCTGGCAAGAGGAAGAATTAGAGATCGCTAGCTGACTTTGGTGGAAGTCATAAGCGATGGCTGGAGGAGGAATGGCGAGATGATTATCATTTTGGTGGAAGTACCGTTGAAGAACTTCACAAGCGATGGTTCGGTAGCGGCGTTATTGATTGGTTGAAAGGACTCGTCAACCCAAAGGTTACCAAACAATTTACTCATGATATCGACGAGACAGTGATCGCCAAAATCATTGATGAGGAATGGGATTGCCCACTTGGAGATAATGGGAAGTTCGACGGCCACGTCTTGATACAAGCTGAGACGACCGTCAAAGTGGCTACAAGTTTCGGCTTCACACTCATCACCAAGCTTAGTCTCCCACTTGATCTCAGCCAATCTTATCTGACCTTTGGCAATGCTGGAGAAGTGACCGCCACCTTCACTTTAGATGCCGTCGCCGGGGTATCTTACAACAAAGAAATGGAAATTCTGACACTCCCGTTTCCTGGAGCAACGTTCAGAGTCCCTGGAATTGTCACGATTGGACCCAGCGTTCGAGTTCTGGGTCAAATTGCTGCCAGTTTGACGGTCTCTGCAGAGATAGAAGCTAAAGTTGATATTGCTTCATGGGAAATCGAGCAAACATTACCTGCCGCCTCAAGCGAGTTCGAACCTGATGAGGATGATCTGGTGTCCCCGAGAAATACCGGTAATATGGACGGCTTGTCCAATCCAAGTTTCTATGCCGGAGTCAAAGCAGAAGGTTCAGTAGAGGCTCATATAAAAGCTTCCATGGAATTTGGTATTCGTTTCGATGATAAGTGGAAGGTCGGTGCGGCCGCTGCTGGAGTTGTTGCAGATGGCTATGTTCGATTCAAAGTAGGGGCCGGGAAAAGTAACGAGGCAACTTGTCCATGGAGCTATGGACTTGACCTTGGTGTTTCTCTGTACGCGCAGGTGGAATCACCACCACTCTTGGGATGGGGTACAAAGACATGGCCGCTACCAGGATCTGGAGAAGTTCCACTTATAAAAGGCGGCACCTGTCCGGACTTGAAGCAAGGTCAATCTGCTCGCCGATCACTTCCAGCAACAGAAAATGGGTATGGGTGGGATCAGTCGAACCCCGGTACAATGCTGATCGCTCAGGGCGAGGGACAAAATTCGACTTCAAGCTCCATTGGAAAGAGAGTTGCGGTTTATGGACCAGCAGTGACTCTTGATCTTCAAAGTCGCTTCTGTCCCAATAGCGATGACGATGCTGGAAGCAAGACGCTGTGCTCCGCAATAAGAGCTGGTTGGGAAGACGAAGGCGACGACCCGTTAGGAGATTTGGTAACTCGTTCTCTCGACATTTCTCACGCTATAAACCTGCTCGAAAAGAGAAGCAAAAAGACACCTAAGGCATTTTGCGCGAAGAAGGCGGGGGAAGCAGGAGCAGCCAAGATGAATTATCAAACACCTGAATATGATGAAAACAGCGCTATAGTAATTACCCCCCCTGGAAAGAATCTCAAAGATTTAAGTACCCCCTTATCAAGGACCATTACTAACTTTCAATAAACTATCGCTAATCTAAAGACATATGGTTACACGAAAGTTGACGAATGTAACGATTTTGGTTTTGGCGTGATCACAACACCGGCCACAACAGATCGATCACGTTATCGTACTGAGCATGTTCTTGAGGCTCAGCTTCTGGGTATATTCTTCGATGATATCGTTTCCCCTGGAAGCAAAGAGGTATTTGATTGCAATGATCCAACTCCAGATGCCAAAGCACCACCAGGAAAGAAGCTCTGCTATTGTATGCAGCCTCTATGGTACCAGTTACCATCGGCGTTATATCCAAGTGTGAACATTGGGGGAAATGTGTTCCAGGGGAGGCCAATTGACATCGTTGGTCAAGCGTGGCCTGGTAAGGGGAATGACTGGAAAAGTGAGTTTGTTCTACTCGACGAAGGCGTGAATGGTGTCAAGGAGCGAATGTGGGGAGATGGAGAAATCAGAAACGACAGAGGGATGTCAAGCAACCTGGATGGTACCACAGACAAATCTAACCCCGAGAGACTAATAAAGGCTGTGAAAGACGCAATAACAGCTTTCAAATACCACAGCGATGCCGAAATCAACAGGATTCTCGTTGTACAGGTAGACCGGGTGGGCACCTGGTTGAACACGATGGATAGCGTAACGGTACCTGCTATTTAAAGGACAGCCGGCGATAAAAATTTCGGCAAGTGGAAATCGCAAGACCTTCAAGGACGCTGGAAAAAATGGATGAAGGGTCGATATGCGAAAGCAATGACGAAGGCAGAGGATTTCATCCCCGCAGCCATAACAAAATTGGAGACCAAGTTTGCGTCAGTCGATCAGAAGAAAGATGCAGTGGGCGATGCAAAGACTCGGATTGACAAGATTGTGGCTTTAAAAAAGGAATGGACAGATAATAAGGCGACTTGGACAAATCCATTTTAAGAATGTATTTTTAAAATCATTGGACTCTGTATACTAGCATTCTCGAAGCACATTCGCACTGTGTTCCTTCCAGATGGCAAAGTGCTAAAGCAACGTGCACTCGAATGTGACAAAAACATCTTTCGCGCCATTTTTTTCCTAGCCCAATTTCGCTGGGCCAACCACGCCTTTTTCCTCAGCAGCTATATCTTGAAATGAATAGGCGAATGCTCGTGATCGAACTGTGAAAGTACTAGTGAGATTTTGACAGTAGTATTCTAGAATACTTTGCTTTAGTACAGTACAGCCGTATTAAAGTCGAGTAGTTGAGTTGAGTAGTAGCACCTAACCAACTCAACTCGAGTTGTGAAAATCGCTATTCAACTCAACTGGCCAAGTACTCGATTATCTCATGAGTAACTCGAGTAGTGTCGGCCCCATGTCCCCGATGCCCCTTAGCGCACCCGGGCTCATAGGCCGGACTCCGAGCGGTCGGTCCGCGTACGCGGACTCACCAGGCATAAGCGATGGCATTACTAAGTGCTAAAGAATCGGTCACGTAAAATCTAAGTACTTGAATATTACTCGAATAGTCAAATCTACTACTCAACTTGACTCAACAGAAGTACCTAATCATACTCATTCAACCTAACCCAAGTATTGCTCAAGCTGAGTCGAGGAGTTAATTGGTTTTACTACTGTATTACGCTAGTACAGTAGAAGTAAAAGTAAAAGTAAGGAATCTATTTTATTTATCCCCTTATACTTTCGTTTAAATTTATTATAGTATACCGGTAGTCTGTTTCGTGAATTCTAGTGCCCTTACTACCTAGCACCGACGCCACTCTGCAGGGATCTATATCTAATGTTAGCAGAATAGTAAAACCTATAAACAATATATAGAAGGTAAATAAACGTCTTTTATTCTTACACTTCTACATATTAACCTCAACTTGTTAATAAATTATAGATTGATCTAGAAAACTCGAATTTACTAACATCCTCGATTAAATTAGGTTAATCATCTTGATTGTTCTAATTTGCAGGTTGGTCGTGAATGAGCACCCTATAGCTCTCGGCTAGCTCATTCAACACCCTTTAAACGTTTGGTTCACGGGTCCGATCGCTCTAGATACTCCAGAACTTAATGCGATAAATCCATTAATTGCAGGCGTTCTTGTCTACTCGAAGCATTTTAACTCAGGATAGACTGCAAAGAAAATCAAGTGGTGACATGAATATTTCCCAGCTCTGATCTAAAGTCTTTAAGTCTGTTATCTTCTGCTGATAGTAGAAGGAACCAAACAATATTACAACGCCAGAAAACTTCATACCATCACAATCAATGCAACTTTGACAACATTGAGTTTCTCGTTAAATTTCATTCATTAGAGCCTAGTTAACAGCAAAAGCAAAGGCTAAATATCGACCAAAAGAAATTACATCACATTTTCTGTGCCATCCTACCCCAAATCTGTTCTGATATTACCGAAACACTAAGCCTTATTTGCACCAGTGGAACCGCTATCCTTCGCACGCTCGCCATATGCCTTGGTGGCATAATCCCCTTGGTAAACAATCAAATCCTGTGGGCGGTAGTCATGTTTACCAGAGAGGTAGCTCTCAAGGATGGCTTTGGTACCGTCGGCGTATCGCTTTTGGGCATCAAGCGAGGTACCAGACATGTGTGCAACCATTGCGTTTCCACCGCCGAATGGGTTCTTGGCGTATCGAAGAACGTGGTCTTTTGGTGCTGGTTGAGGGAACCAAACATCACCACCATATCCGCGTAGGTGACCAGTCGACAGGGCCTCTGCGACATCTTCCTTGACAACAATAGCACCACGGGCAGTGTTAACAAGCCATGATCCTAAGACTCGTTAGATGAGATCCCCATACAAGCAAGACGCCCTAACTTACCTTCCTTCATCTTGGAAATCAACTCCTTGTTGAACATGCCTCGAGTCTTCTCATGGAGTGGGCAATTGATTGTGACAATATCACATTGTGCCAACATCTCTTCCAGGTTCTCAACACGTCTGCATCCAATCTCCTTCTCAATCTCCGGCTTTAATGGTTGGTAATCAAAGTAGAGAAGCTCCTTGCAGTCGAACGGCTTCAGTCTTCTCAAGACACGTTCACCAATTCGACCAACAGCTACTGTACCGACAACCTTGCCCTCCAAATCAAATTCGTTCTTGGCGGAAGCTGCAACATCCCACTCACCTGCCTGAATTTGCTCATGTGCTGGAACAAAGTTACGGACAAGAACTAGAATCGTCATAACGACGTGTTCGGCAACTGAGACGACATTGGAACCGGTAACTTCTGCAACCGTGATTCCGCCATTTGTCTTGTTGGCAGCATTCAAGTCGACGTGATCAGATCCAATACCAGCAGTAATAGCAAGCTTCAAATTCTTGGCCTTTGCCAGTCGTTCGGCAGTAAGATAGCCAGGGTGGAAACTAGTACTTGATGAGCCAGAGTGAAGAAATTGGATATAGATATAAGTACGGTGTGGTGATGATAACTTCGGCATCGACTAGTTCCTGATCGAACTTTGAGTTCTCGCTATCCTTATCCGATGTGGTGATGAGAGTGTGTCCTGCATCTTCGAGCCATTTGCGAATACCGAGCTCGTTCTCTGTTGTGCCTAGAAGCTCTGGCACCTTCAATGGAAGTCAGAATTGATCTTGATGTGTACTATTGGCGAATACATACTTCTTCGGCATGCTTGCCACCATCGTATAACACAAGAAGAACCTTGACCTTTTCACGAATTCCAGTCAGCGTTCTGATGCCTCCAATTTGACGGTACCTCAAAGCTTGGGCTCCGCGGGTTAGAAGTCGAGCAGACGAGGGAGTTGCTTTCGTGGTTGAAAACGAAGCCACTGCTGAACGACATGCAATGCGAGAGATTGAGCGGGCGAGAAATACCATTGTGAATTATCAAAAAGCTAGTAGCAGAAACTTTCTCGAGGAGGGTATGGAAGTTGAAGTGGTACAGGTATTTAATGCAGGCGCGGGGTGCGGGGCAGGGTCGCAATGTGGTAGGTGAGTGACTGCTGCATCCCCAACGTCAGTATTATGTACATGTACAAAAACGACAGACAAGGCACAGGTGAAGGTGGAGACCTGGTGGGAAGGTTGAAGGAGTATTGTACTGTAAGACGTACTTTTTGGGGGGGCGAGGGGGTTGTCTCAAGGCGAGTTTGTAGTTGTCGCGAGGAAAAGGGAGAGTTGATGAGGTTTAAATGAAATGAGTTCTAGTTTTACTTCCCGTTCCCAGGGCGTGCCTTCCTTCTTTTATATTGGGTACCCAACCCAGTGCCAGTGCCAGTGCCAGTGCAGCAAACAACCATAGCTCCCCTCTTTCTGGCAGCGACCACCGCATCATACCAATGATACCATCTCCAACCGCTAAATTACATCTCGCCAACTCCACTTGATGGCGTCCATACTATATTGGCCCAGTCGAGCCATGCAGAAATCTGGTTCCTGGTGCCGCGTCTCCGACAATCTGCGGGAAAACCCAGTCGTACGAGAAATTGGGTGGTGTAGCTCCATAGCTAGGTGATTAACTCTATTGATTTCGTTGTTTACTCGGCGAGTTCGGGATGTTATGTGCTTTGTGCAGGGCACTCAGCATTCCAGGAAACGTAAACTGCCTAGCCTTTTCCTTTCCCCCCGAAGGTTCTTTTTATAAGAGTTTTCTCCCATCCTTTCCGGCCGTTCTGATCACCTTCTGGCTGGTGACCTCCTGGCACTGGCAGTCTGGCACTACTATCAACTACATGCCAAGAGGCAAACGATGCTCAATGCGAATCAGCGAGACATACTGGGTATGCAGGCAACTGGGTATTGTGAGTTCGACGGTTGAACAAGCTTCTAGCTTCCCCTCTTTCCATTCCGCCACCGGGTTATCGATTCGCGGCGATGATTCGGAGAACTCGGGAGCCCCACCATGGCAGCTTCCCACATCAAGTCTCTCGGTAGCTTTCCGATACACCCAACTTGAGTCTTCATATATACCTGTACTCGGTATTCGTACTTGGGTAGTATTACTATCCACTTGGAGCAGTTGGTACATGTTGGTGGTTATTGTTTAGGAAGGAACAGACTATCTATTGCTCTTGCTCCCGCTCCCGGCGATCGAGATTCCGATTTTTCGTTCTCCGGCTCCTGGCAGACATCCACAACTAATGCACCATATGACATACATATATGGAACACCATTAATAACAGAGTGTTAGGGGGGGCAGCTTTGCTCCATATGCAGCACTTTAATTGCGGGGTAGTGGCCAATGGAGAGAGGCATACAACGGAGACTTCTCCTCTTGACAAGAACTTGAACAACCAAATATGAAAGGTACCAAAGGGGAAAACATTCCCATATCTTACCCCGGGTGCGCACTCGACGGGACCGTCCAATTTGGTAGTCTGAATCAGACAGAAGGGCCACCCCAGCGAGCTTGTACTTACGTGAGCACATGCGCCATTCAACTGCCAAACCCCGATGTTACGAGTAGGTAGGAAGCGAAGGCCCATCCGCAGTCTAATTGCTGACGGGTGAACGGCACTGGTGGATTTTCAAACATCTCGTAGCACATTATGTGGCTCAATCAATTCGTAAAATCCCTTGCTGTGTACCCACTGGGCAGCTGCGTAGAAACGCGAGGTGTCCTTGGACGTTGGAGAGAATGTCGTGGCGACTAAGATGAGATCCGCTTCCAAGTTGGCCGCGCTTGTTTATTAAGTCACGTGATAACACACTTTCCCTCGATTTCAGGTTTAAGACTCCCACTAAGCAGGTTCGTTTGCTTTTTGCAATTGAGGCGCTCTCCATCTATTGCCGTGTCAATGAAAACTGTGTACGAGTGCTGCGACATAAACTCTTCCCGGTTGGTTTGAAGTACCTTGCACGTGACTATCTGCTCTAAACCACATATGGGAAAGTTTCATCCCTCTCCAAGTACTTAGCACCACCTCGTCTCAAAAAACCCGGTTGTTCAAAAGGGAACCACGTTTCATCCAACGACCACAGTACATCAGACACTCCTCCACAATCTGATCGCCTTCCGAAGGATGTTTGCACGAGGTGAACGCTTTCTTGAAGAAGTTTGTAGCCGAATACGTGCCATGAATCCAGTACTGATAGTGCGCAGATCGAAATCTTTAAACATTTAAAAGGCTGGAAAGAAGAGGCAGAGTATACTTTGCTAAAAAAATATCAAAAGAAAAGGTTATACTAGATAGAGTATGCAATTTGATTGAGCGTCATAGGTCAGAATTTACAATAAACACGATACAAGCCTATCGGACTTATTCGGTTACCAAAGAGGAAAACAAAAGAGTTCCTATAAGTTCGTCCGCATCTGAATCTGAGCCCACTTTCGTCGTACTGTAATCTTACTATCTCAACTTTTGCTCAAGTCTTTGCAAAATACTTCCTCCATCAACTACAAGTCTAAAAGGGCGAGAATGAACTCCTCTCAAAATGCCGGTTAAAGAATCATATGTAAAGGGAGCGAACCCTCTTAAATGGTGTTACCACAGCAAATATTACAAACGCGCATTGTACGTTCGGATCTCAATCTCAGCAATACTGTAGTAGATGACTTTCCCATGACTTTCCCATACGATCGTTCCCAATTTGGAAGGTCCCAAGTCCACTGGCTGGGACAATATCAACTCAAATTTATAGATGATTAAACGCAAAATAATTCTTCAGTCGTCTGCTCGCATCCGTTCCCTCATCTCGTTTTTTCATTCGTCCAGTCGGCATAACATAAAACAGTGCAGGTTTTTACTAAATACAATTCTTCCCGCTACTGTAGTATCTGAGCATCCGAGGTATCTTCTTTTAGCAGTTTACCGCAGCCGGTAGAGAATTGGTAGAGCGATTAGATTTCGCGTTCCGGACCACGCACCGATACCTCGGCTGGCAAAGGGTCGAAATAGACTGAAATGCTTGAGCATGTGTACAGCGAGGCGATAGCGAAGAAAGATATTAATTACAGACAGAAAAAAATGCAAATAAAGCTGCAGATAAATGAAGGTATCATGAATTAATAGTTAGGATAGGTAAGATAAAAAAAGACTAGAACAGGCTATATACTGTGCGCGAAAGCCTCTGTGCTTGCTATCCCTTCCATTCTCATCCGGGATATGCAGTTTTCACTACCTCCAACCTCCTCATAACTTGTGCACCTTTTCAAGCGCCAACTCCCCAAGAGATGAGAGACCATGCAAGCATCAGTCTCATCAACCCATCACACACATATAAAATCTCCACAGGAGGTATCGTAGTCCCAAAAATTGTTCATGTCGCTCCGCCGAGTAGACACCCGAACAATCGTATACAATACAATAGACAAGAGGTAATAGAAAATAAAAGGGATAGGCGTATTCGGCGTATACAAAGAACAAAAAAGACAAAGGAAATAAAAAGCCAGACCATCAATCAAGAGGTGTCATTAGAATAGAAACACAACAACAGCGGCAACACATGCCGAAATATGACATCGTCTCCTATACCCGATATGCGTGGGGAAATACAACATGTCTTGATAGTACAGAAACTCATCTTCGGGAGGACGAATCATGGTCGACAAGAAGCAAGAAAAAGTGACGCGCTCAAAAACCACCTAATTACCCAAGTCTATCGAAGACCCTCTCTCACATCCAACCCTTGGCTCGGCGATTTTTTTTTGCGCTTAGCCCAAGGCCCCAATGAAAACTTTTTGAGAAACAATAATACAGAAGATCCCACATTAATTGGGGTTCTCTCATATCCATTCATTTTTTCTTCCACTGTTCTTCGTTGGTTTGACAGGGCTGCCCATGGGGTTTCCTCTCAGTGGACCGCGAGAAAGAGAAGCTTTCCTCGAGACTTCTTCAGCCCTTGATTCGTCAGATACCCTGGAGTATGTCGAGGCTTTAGAGTCCGATCGTACAACTGAAGATTTGGCCGGTGAGTACACTGCAGGACTCAACTGAATGGGATCACTATCAGTTCTTTTGAGAAGATTTGCCCTTGGTGTGGGAGGGAGGGTCTTGGTGGATGTCTGATAGTTGAGAGTTGTAGACTTTGGGCTCAGTCTGGGGCTTGTTGAATTCAGTTTAACACTGGTGGAGTTTAATCTAGGACTTGTCGAGTTGGCGAGTCGAAGAGGTGATTGTGGGCGTGAGTGCGCGACATCTTGTGTCACGAGTTTCAGTGGCGAGGGAGCCAAGAATTTCGGGGCTGGCGTTGCTTCGTAGGTTGTCGACGGAAGCCCAAAAGGTATCGTCGAGTCATTAGATTCCGGGGCGTGCGATAATCTTAGACCAATCTGGACTGTTGCGGTAGAAATGATGGACGGGTTTCTCCCGTGACCGCGACTGAAGATCTTCGGTGGTGCTGCCAGATCAGTGATATCATATATCGATGTAGGGTCCTGTCGCATTTTAGGCACACCTAGTGTATTGCTTTCAGGTGCGTTTTCGCCCGGGAAGAGAGAGTATGATGGCTTCGTGGCATGCCCTCGCGTGGGCTCGTTATATGTTGGAATCTCTGACTCGGTAACAGTTGGATATACTTTTTCGTTGAATCGTGATGTTGGCGCAGATTTCGTGAAATTCGAGCTTACTGAAGAGTCCATACTAATAATACTTCCTTTTTCATCCCCAACTAAACCAGCCCGACTATCTAGACGATCTTGGGATGTCGAAACAGGCGACATCGTTTGATGGTTCAAAAACACCAACTCATTTGGGCCCCAAATTCTGATTTCGTGCTTCTTTACGTCGTTTGATCCACTCCGTCCGAATGAAGTCGAAGCCGTGTTCGCTCGCAAAAATAGATGGAGGAGTCCATTGACCAAGCCTGAAAGATTTACCACCACAGTTCCAATCATGGCTTGCTTCAAGCCCCCATTATCAGTGACAAGGGATGCGAACCATGGAATGACGAATGCCTTGAAATTGTTAGCACAATGCGCTGCGAAGCCTGAACCAGCTTGACTTACTAGAGAAAGCAAGCCGAGAACCAGGTAGTAAACCATTCTCGAGGCCGCGATTCTTTGATGCTCGTCGATAAAGTCGACAAAGTCGACATTTGAAAGGCGGAAGTATATAGTTAAAGCACTGGCGAGCATGATTGCTGCAATGACAGATAGCATGATCAAGCCCACCTCCCCGTAAATTGTTAAAAACCACATCAAAGACGCGAAGCATGTCTCGTTCTCCTGGACCACGTATGAATATGCCCACGTTCCAATCGTGAATACCAGAACTAGAACACAACATATGGTTACATCATACTTGCCTCGAGCTTGAAATGGCTTAGCTCGCAAAGACCGGATAGCGCATTCGACTCCAAAGACCAATTGTATGTATGGTACAAGGAAAAGTGCTGTTGTGTGTTAGCATTTCCTCGGCACTTTTAGCAGAATTCAACATACCAGGTAGCAAAAACTGTGCAAACACGTCACACCCTTTGACAAACAGAGATTGCAATCCCGTTCCTTGTACCCCCATGAATGCAAAACCTTGAATGGCGATTCCGATGGCAAGAATCAAGGGGAAAGTCTCAGCTGGGTGTATTTTACTGATGCAAAATTTCCTATCGACATTAGCAACCATCCATCTACCTGTCCTATTTCTGACATACGTTGATTTGAACTTTGGGTTGCACCTCTTCGTAGACATGTAAGAGTCGTATAAGATGCTCGAAGCCGTTGCCAGTGCCGCCAATACATTAAATGCTGCGAGGATTATCGTCGAGGTCCTGACCGACTTGCTCTCCGCAAACGCGAGTTTCTTGATCAACAGCCCTGTGGCTTCGGTGGCATTATTGGCGCTTTCTTCCGCCGCCGCCCTCGTTGAATCCCATGTCCCATTCAAACTTGTTCCGTTAAAGCTTAGAGTCGTATGGTTCCTGAGAGCCCGCTCCATCACCAACCTCGCCGTGGACGCCATCGTGTTGTCCGCCGTCATCGACGGCTCTTCACAGGAGATTTCCAAATCGATTTGCAGGCAGCGAGCCTATGTGTTCACTTTGATGATTTGGTTAAGTCATGAATACCGTAAAGAATGTTCTTTTCTCGAGAATGAGTTGTGTGTGTGTAGAAAGTGTGTTGACGGAGGTGGAAATAATTAGTGGGGCAGTCCAGATGCCCGTAGAGAAGAAGATGAAAGATGAAACGGAAATCTGAACCAGCAGCAGTGGCAAGGGAAGCCAGAGAATGCAAAAAAGATGTGACGACAGGACTGGCAGCAAAACCCCAAAAAGAACGTCAAGTCGTCCAGACGTCCAGACATTAGAGACCTCGTGCTGGCTCTAGGGGATGCATGAAGTATAAGGGAACCAGGCCCACGCGCGGGAGGAGTCGAGTCCGGCTACAGGGGGGGACTTGGGGGTGGGTATGATGGGGTAAACTTTGGAAAGGCAAAGCCCGCGGCGATGTTGAGTGATAGTTTCACGGATGGGTGCACACTTGCAAGATGGATTGTGCTCTTCTGTGAGTGGTCAATGGTGACGACCTCCAAAGACTCTCACTGCCGGCGATGCTGGGCGAGAAGGAAACACTTAGGAGTCGATGGTTATTTGGTAGTGTGTACCTACTCGAGTATTCTCCAGCCATGAAGGAATAGTGGGACTCTGCAGGCCAGGTCCACGGATGAACAGACTGAATTAAGCTGAAAATGGACCAACCCATGCCCCGATCCGCGATTTGCAACTAGGATCCTTCGCCGATGAAGCAGGTCTCGACGGTTTTTGTGTGAAAGGCATTGATGAAGCAGAGCGGGCGGTTTCGGTTGTTGTCGCAGGTTGTCGCTTAACCCCTGATGGCAGGGATGTTGTGCAAGTCTGGCTCGCCTGGATCCGTAACTTGGACTGTGGACAGCCATCTCTCCAGCCTTTGCTTGAAGGACGCAAAAGAAGTTTTCCACGATCCCTGATTGTGAAGTGAATAACCCCGGGTTGATCCAAGAAGGTGGCCATCGTCAGTTGCGCATCTTCTTGGATTTTGCTGGGTGATGCATTGATTGACGGCACAGAGCCTTTAGTGGTCTGTTATTGTCGATTGCTTTTCCAGTTATATTTGAGCAGCAATCAGCCAGTAAGGCTCTGCTTCCTAACACTTAGCTCAATGAGTGATCAATGCACCTCGTGGCCGACATGCGATACAGATATTAATTGATGACAATTACCTGCTGCGCACAGTGTCGTTCTCGCTAAGCCCACAACGGCGGCGGCCTTCTGGAAGCACGCTCGCCCGATGGGGCCTGCTGACGACATGCTGCAGTTACAATCTGATGACGAAAATCGCAATCGGAGCAATTCCTGTTAATTGAAACAAATTCGAATTCCAAGAGACCAAAGAAGTTCGTCCATTGCCCATCGAAGGATTGTGGTCCGTTCTCCGATTTTGCCAAGTCGCCTGGTGGCCCAACAAGTCTCACGATATGAGATGAAACTTCACCTCGCGAATATCTTCAGGGTCTGGCGACGCTATGAGCGGACGGTGTCTCCGATGGCCAAAGCGAACCCCAACAACACAAACAACATATAGATGGACGCCTTCCAGTTTGCCTGGGAGGGTGATGCTTCTGGGCACTTCTTCGACAGAGGGTCGATTTTGATGAGTAAGTACGGAGGTAGTTGCAAAATATGAAGAAGCAGAAAGCTGAAGATAGAACAAAAGGTTGCAGAACCTTGGATAGGCTTGGGGCCTTGGGCACGCCACGACATTAACCACAGTATTTACTCCGTACAGCAAGCCGCGAGGCCTTGGTAAAGTCTATTTCAACCTCCTATTTCCGTACTCCACTGTGAAATTTGCTTGATCCCCCGTATCAGTCGTTGAATTTGCATACGACCAGACATTTTGTTCGCTCGAATCACCATCGATCAAATCTTCCACGTCTCAAAATACGAGAATTTCCTCAAAAAATCTTGTAACGGTTGCCCGGTAGACAGTATTCTTGGGGGCTATTCTAGGACTTTTTCATAAAATCTCCGCTCAAAGAGAGACCCATGTTTCCCTGCAGTGAAATCACATCCACTTTCTCCGGATCTCCGTTTTTGCAACCGTAGAATCCTCTACATCATCGCGCAACCTGGAAATTCTGGAATGAACTGCAAATGTTTCCGAAGTGGCTACCTTCCGATACCCTATCCTATCCCGCGTGGCCCTTGAAATTTCCGGGCGAGGAATTGATAGCCACGGCCACCATAAATTTCGCACCTACCACATAGTCAGGTTCGAAATCGTAAAAGTAACGTCCCGATGCTCCATTACGATACATCAATAATGACAAACTTAGGAAGGGCAATCGACCTTATCGCATACCTCATACTATGCCTAGCGTGGACAAGATAGACCCTTCATTAATCTTTCACATCCTATCTATTCTCGTGGGACCCGCGAGTGTTTATTTGGAAGTATGACATAATTCCATAATTACTTTGAAGTATAACATATTAAATTCCAAAGCGCAAACTAATCCTCACTATACGAAATATAACATCCGTTGGCCTCCGGAATCTACATCATCCTCTTTAAGGTTATCACATCCGCATTACTGTAATATAACCAACTCCTTGCCAGCCGTAAACGTATGCCTGCTTCGCATCATTCCACGCCCGCCACAGGTCACCCCTTCGTCCACGGGCGATCAGGATCCCGAAAACGAGGGATTTATCAAGTCCAGACATAAGAAAAGTCTGTAGATATGAAATCTCGTTGCCTTCTCACCGCGGCCCGGAGGATTTGTGGTTACTGTAATTTAAAGGTCCCTAAATCTTACCATTCGTCCCATCTATCTCCCTTGAAACCTTTCAAGCCCATGACCCTATCCCATTTGCTTCGTACTTTACGGACAGCAACCATCCTCCATCTTCATCAAGTCCATGAATTCAGGTGCCGAGCGGCATATATATGCGGCATATTACAATATTGTATCCGATATCGATATGGGAGACGCTGCTTCGTAAATCTTTTGCTTAAAGTCAATATATACGAGTATGCTTATATTGACACCATTGACCGACCTAAAATTGCCCCAGTGCCACGTGGGACTTTTGCGGCGCACCTCGCATGCGGTATTTAAATCGTGAAATCGTGACATTTGTATATTTAGGATCTTCAAGGGCGATCAGACTGTGGTGAGCCACAAAAATGTGGCCTGGATTCGCATGCGGGGTTGAGGGGTCGCTGTTTCCACCGCCATACTTGACGCAGTTAATGCATTAAATTCCAGTGTTCCTGTCAACGGCCATTCTAACGACCAGTGAGTCTAGAATCGAGCCGAAAAGCGAAGATTCGTATACGTCGTAAGACCTTATACTAGAGCCGTAAAAAGATAACGTGGAAAATGCATTATTCATAACTAACGGAAGGCGTTCGAAGGTGCCGGATTATTCGATGGACCTCAAAAAAAAAGGGACGGAGGGGAGTTAATACTGATACATTTAACAGTTCTCCTTCAGACAGAAAACAGAGGCGCCAATGGACTTGACTTAGTCATCGAGTGATCCTCTTGATGCACAGCAGCATCAGAACAACATGTGGGGTAAAATAATATGATAAAAACCCGAAAAGGTAATATCATGCAGTGAAAGTTCCAATTGTGGTACGGAAGTCCCGAAAAACTTGTGATTGAGGGGATGTGAGTAGAGAAAGTGTCTCGGTTCTGAGTAAAGCAATAAGCTCGCCAATGTGATGGACATAAAGACAAGGGATACTTGACAAATTGATCCTTGAAATCACACGCTCCAAGTCTTCGGGGAGAGTTGCGGCATCCACCAAAAGTCATTTCTGGTTCAATGGGTCGGCCGTCTTTACCAATACTTTGGTGCGACGAATGGGAAAACAACCACCGACAACTGTTTGTCGATCTGGTTATCAATAGCCAGTAGAGAGCCAACCAACTATAGCCTATAGTACGTCAACTATCAAACCAGTGAATATTTGTTGAGTGACAAATTCTCTAGACACTTACTGAATTTCATGATTTCATCTTGGGTGATGATGGAATAATCAGAGCGAAAGGTTTCAAAATAAATTTCACTCCATTGAGATACATAATGCATAGAAAATGCGTAGGCGCAGGTTACCGTGTTGGCGCATCCTCGCTCCATGATAGACGGAAGTTATTCTGGGAATGTTCGAGTCTCATAGCTTGTGGTCTCTCGATCTGACTGCTGCAGTTGAGTCACAAACAAGGGATATATTCTCGTGTATCTTTTACCAAGTAATACAACTTTGCCTCCCATGGTTGTCCCCGGATCACCCTAGTTGTAGATATTGTGTATCGACGCGGTTGTATACCCCCTATTTGCTCTTCTTTTCGTGCTTCTTCTGGGCTGCCGCAATCACACCGTAGCGGACCATACACGCATTTTCAATATCTTTGAATGCAACCCACATAGCGTAGAGGGGCAGAAAAACCCACAGCATGTTGAAAAATACCAGGTATACCCACAAAAACATAAAGTTGCTACCATTCAGATTCTGGTTCATAGTGAGCCATTCTGGGGCAAATGTCATGAAACCTGTTGCGCGATATGTCAACTACTGCAGTGCAAATAAATGAGATGTTTGGAAGAAATACCTCCGTATATCTCCCCCGTTGCCAAAACAATCATCCAAAAACTAACACGCCAGTCCCTTTTTGCAATTCCGTAACATATCCAAGCAGCAAGTGGTCCTGCTACCAGGACCGTCAAGAGCTCCAGGCTGATCACCGTGAGATCTGCACCCGCCCATCGTTTGTCCGCTTGGGCGTAGACCATCCATAACTTCGATCCCCAGTTGTCCCCGTATGCAGCGCCATGCAATCGATCACTCTGTCCCAGGAAGTTCGTGATCGATGCGGGATGGTGAGTCGCAGAATCGAAGGGCTTGGATGTGAAGAAGCAATTGTATAGATATGACCCCTCGAAGATGGTATGGATGAGGAAGTCGAAGGCGTGCCAGATGAACAAAATACGAAACCTCGGTGCGCTGGATGGTGTCAAGGCGTACAGAGAGACGATGTATGCTGTTGTCAAAATTGCAACGACTGCGATGAGAGACACAATGGTCGTTGTGTCGATGACGTCCATGATGGAGAATTCCGAAGAAGCCACCGTGGCGCAATCTAAGCAGCAAAGATCGGGAACGGGACGGCCAGAGGTAGCAAATAGCTTCAATTAGGGTAACTGGACCTGATCATTGTCCAAGGTGGAGTTGAGGTTGAGGTTGTAGTTGAATTTGTGATCGAGGTAAACTCTTGCTAAACTTTGGGACTGGAGCTACGCTGGTCTGGGCGGTGGGCCTGTGTTGTTGAGGGAAGGGGAAATATCAAGCTACCCCTGTCCACTATTTTTGCCCTTTGTAACATGCAACATCAGATCAAGGGAACCATTGTAAGTCCGATTTCTATATTTGTGGGCAACTAAAACAAGGCAATACCTACAGTGATGATTGTAAACATAAATTAGCCCTTCGTATATAAACAAATTTACTCACTCCTCTCATTTGCACAATTGGGGCGCTATTATTACGATCTGCTCTCCCTCGCTTGACGGTTTACAGTATCAATCCAGCCATTGTCAAATTGTTGATAGTCACACACTTTTACGATCTTCAAGATGGCCAAACATAAGAGAGGTACTGTAAGACAGTTGGGCGAAATTCTGCACACACCCTAAGAACCTATTATACTAGAATTCCTAAAAGAATTAACTTAATTGTCCTAAATAACTTAGATTTATAAAGATATATTAATTTGAATTACCCCAAACAGCTTGTATGATAATTTTAGTTGAAGGAGGCTGTTAGAATAATATCTCTTTTTAACCTAGGTGTGTATAGAGTTTCGCCTAATGTCTTACTATAAGCAAAAATTATACACAAGGCTTTAGCGGGATAACTCTGGTCTGCTTCAGAAACATAAGCTTTTTATCACAAGGCATAAAATGACGACAAATACGTCGCTTTCTTCTGTTATACCCGCTGTCACCAAGTCACAATTCAGAGGCAATGGAAGATATAATATTGCACCCAAGTTCATAGATTGCTGAGTTATATATAGACACTGGTTAAGAGCTCGCTATGGTCTTTTACAGCATTTGCCTCCAATAAAAGCCACCACCAAGCAAGCCCGTAGTGTCGGCCGTATATCGTAGAACACATCTTGTCTATATTGTCAAACAAATCTCCTCACCTCTAGTATTTCCCACACCCTCGCCTCTTCTTCCTAGCGAGGCCCTTCTTCAATTATTATTTTCGCGCTCCAAAACAACCTAGGCCTTAAGTCCTGAGTTCCAAGCATCGGCAGTGGTTTGATCTCTTGTGCCTATTCAGAATCAGTATATACAGTACGATGCGGCATTACAGAATACTGTACCTAAAGCTGTGACATCCGCCTTAACCTTGTCGCACTTCTCTTGACCGGCCTTGCTGGCCAAACAACCTCTTTGGTTGTCCTTAAGCATGTTGCAGATGTGGCTCATGATGATACCCGGAGCCAACGCATCCTGTTGTCCTCCCTTGATCTTTGGGTCCGTTGGCAAGAATGTTCCTTGGTCTGGCTTTCTTCCTGGTCTTCCCAACTGGAAGTCCATCGATGGGTCACAAGGACCAAGGTCGCCACCATCACCAGCAGCATTGCCAGTGGAGTTAGCAGGAGCGGCAGCCACAAAGGAGGCCAAAGAGGCGACGAGAGCGAGGGTGAGGGTTTTGGTATACATTTCGAATAGAGGGGTTCAGAAATAAAGACCGGCTAGCAGTATAATAAAGTGATAATTTGAGAGAAAGGAATAAGTTCGCAGAACTTGTTAAAGTGGTTAATAAATAAGGTGATAGAACAAAAGGATGTGAGTAGAAACAGATTACCGGTGGAAGAGCTTATACTTATACTTCTTACTTCACATATTGCGGAGAATAATGGAGAAATGTCGCAGCCATGGAAACCAATGGGAAAGATCCCTCCGAACTGTTAGATTGTACAAGAGGGGGGATGTCAATAATTGAGCCGCGTCCACTTGGCAGTTCGGACGAGGCGCTCATCAAGAGGGATCTTCCTGGACGAAAATGCTTTCATCTGAAGTTCTGGCTACTTTGACGCGATTCATAGCGACTCAGAGTTTCAGAAACCCCACTATAACTCTCGGCGCCTGGGTTTGAGACGTTGACAAGGAACGTGCCACAACCACAACGGGTAACGGGAATCACGCGCGCGCTTCAACATGATTCAATTGATTTTCACGACCTATTCCAATACAGGAAGAACTGGTCTTTGGGACTTAACAAGCTTGTGTAACTTGGCAGAGCTGCATTTTATGACGTATTGTCGCCCGCGGGAGAGCGGCGAATTCAAGCACCTTTCCCGTAAGCGAGTTCCTTAGTTTCCGATCGCGAATGGCAGAATACAACCAGAAATACGACCGAGTCACAGTTCGTAGAGCCCTTCGTGTATGACTGTTCTGCTCGAACTAGGCGAAAACTAGCATTTTCTCATCGCCCTAGTGAAGATAGTGTATCTTTTTTCATTATCTCAACGTTGTCGGTCAAGACTTAAACCCCTTTATTGTTTCGTGTAATATTATTATTCCCGTGACCCTCGCTACGCGAAGTTTAAATACATACCAGTATACTCAGTATAGACATGAGTCTTCAAAGTAGAGCATTGTGTTTCATCTGATAGAAGTGACGTCAAACCTTTGGATGAACTCTGTGGGTTTTCTATCTGCTTTCAGAACCGAATATTCGCTAACACATATTTGAACTCATCTGAGAAAACGGCGATACGCGTACAATGAGAAACTTTGGATACAGATCAAAATATTTCAGGTATCCTATAGAAGAAGTACTAAAGTTCTTCACGGGTGTCAAGGATTGCGACAAATGTGCTGGACTTCACTGGGAAATATTTAACTTAAATCTCCTGCGCTAGAAAAAAAGACATAATAGTCAGTGCGCTTCCCTCGGCGCTATCGCTTAAGGTTAGAGAAAGCAAGTGTCTGCGGAAAGCAAGTGTCCGGTTAGGAAAGAGTTTCTTCGGAATATTAAATTACTAGTAAACCATACTAAAAAATTATGTATAGATACAACTAATTCCTAAGCTAATTATATCCTTATACTAATAAAGTCTATATTTACTATAATTAAGTCTAGTAATTTATAACTCTCCTAATCGGACGAGTTAGGATCGTTATTATATCCTCCTCGATACCCTTAGAACTAAGACTAGGACAAGGTATAGCAGGGTCTATTATAGGGTATTCTGTCTATACAACTACCTTATTATCGTCGTCTTTCGGAATAGCTATTAATTAAGCCTTATACTCTTAAACTTAGCAGAATAAAGTAAAGTAATATTCTAGTTAAAGAAATACTTTATCCTTTATAGTAGGCTCTTTCTCAGGGTCTCGAATATAGCTCTAATCTAATATATACTCTTTAGGGAATAGAGCTCGAATTACTATTAGATATACTATTTAATATAACTACTCTCTTTTATACCTATAAGTATTAATACTCCTTTAATTTAGATCCTTCTTTACTTTACTAATAGCGCTAGTAAGTAACCTCTCCGCCCTTTATAATATTGCGACTTTCTCTCATTATACCCTATCTATAATTATAGCTTAAGCCTTCTTAATTGTAACGAATACTCAAACTGGCTAACTAAACTTGGCTGGGTGTTCGCTGGTTGGTATGCTATGATAAGAAGAAGACTATCGGGTTGTTCACTTGGAAGTGAACTCGTTACTTGTATCAAAGATGTCAAACTAATATGATAAGATTGATAACTAAGTTGAGCACGAAGCTCCTATCTAATGGCAGACGTGCCAGTCTTATATAGAACCTTCGTGTTCCGCCGTCGCCTACATCGCCTGTCGATGCTGTCGACATATCGCCAGCATCGCCTGTCGATACTGGCGATGCAAATGGTCACGTGATTACAATGTAATGAAATCCCTGGATCGCTTAGCTAGTCTAAGCATCCCTATTTGCTATAAGAGATATGATAGTGCTCGACCTGTCAGGACGCCGCCTGGTCTTCACTTGTCACATGCTTACGTGATTCGTGACATACTTCTATAGCCTAAAAATACTAACGTTAAGAGGCTATAGGTGTGACGACACGTACGATGTGTTGCTCAAGGAGCGTCCAAGGTGTAGTTTATGGAATCGTAGAACTGTCTATTCGAAGATTCTAAGCTGAGGAGAAGAGGAGAGCTCGAGAGAGCTTGAGTCTAAATACAATGTGGTTCGCTAAGGAAGCCACGTGATATGAATGGCACGTGACGGTCAGAACCGTCACAATAGGATATATATTAATGTTGTGCTGAGTCTACTTTCTCTTTTGCTCCACTTCCTGATTTGATCCACTTATAGCTCTGCTGCCTAAATGCTTCATGTCTGCCT